TATTTCACCTTTATCGTCCGTGTTGCGGCTTTCGTAAAAGTTAGGTTTGATCCTCGTGGCCAAAAACGTTCCTTTTTTGTTCGTTTAAGGCGTCACTTCTTTGCGATGCCAAAATAATGTGCTTAAAACTTGGCATAGTTTACATATTTGTCTTTCGTGCAACGTAGTTGACTTGGAGACATTTCAAGTGGCATGGAAAGAAAAGAAAGTTTTTGCATACTTGTCGTGTCACTGAAGAAAAATATCAGAGCTGAATATGTCTTTGCTTTCGTTCTGATTTCACCTTAAAGGTTACAATTGTGGTAATCTCGGAATAGTTGTGGGATACAAATTTAGGATGAATCTAAATTAACTTAAAATAAAAAATTTTTAAAAATATAATCACGAATGAGAAGAAACTGGCTCAAATTTGGAAAACTCCAGAAATGCATTGGGATTGCTGAAATTAGAGTTGCAGACTAGTGTGGTGTAGCAGTTATTGTCAAAAATATTGACTTGGATTAAGGAACTTATTTGGAGACGTGCATGTTCGACCTCCGTCTGGAAGACTCTCAGGCGCTTCGTACGTTCTATCTCGCTTCGAACACTCCACGGAATTGAACTAATTGAATTATGACAATGACCCAAGCATTTTTTTCCTTCGGCTTCTTCTTCTTTCTGAATTTCTACGGGTTACGTCTATAAACGTGTGAATGGTGTGTGTGTACGTGTGTGTGGATAGCTCGAGGGAGTGTGTTTAAACTCATGACATAAATGCTCAAAGACGAAAGCGTGTGTTGGTAGTGTGGTATCTGGATAATAATTTTCTTTTTCAAGGCTTAATGCCTTACTCTATGTATTCAAAATCAACAACAGCGTTCTCTTCTGACTAAGGAAAAATACATAATTGATTCTGACTAAAACTTCAAGTTACGTGAAAGAGGAATTTGTTCATGTTAAGAAACTCTGGAATTTGAACCCTGATCCGGACATTTGTTGAGGATAATTCCTCACAAGTGGACCGCAAGGTGCAAATTTGACAAATGTTCATACGGTTTTGAACGAAGACTTTATGAAAAACTGCTTAAAAGGATGAAATGATTCCGAGTTACTTTACTTGTATGCAATCAGCCGTAGCTTTCAGTGCAAGACTCTGACAATTTGTAGGACGAGTTTCCATGTTCCTCAAATCCATGGGAAGGAGAACTTAATGACGTAAATATACAATAGACGGTTACACATGAAAATTGTGATCCGTCATTCAAGAACAAAGATGGTTCACACTTTAGGAGTGTACTGTAGAGTGAGGGTCAGATGGTGAGGTAGTTTCGAGTATGATAAATTGGTCCTTTTTAAGGCATCAGTGTTCAATGGATCGATCACACTGTGAAGAAATACATTTTACAACGTGATAACTGTTTACACGAGAAAGAAACGATGAGTCAAACTAAGTTCCAACTGTAGGATTACATCGCAGAATATAGGTTGGAAAAACTGACGTGACCTGAGTGTTGTGAAGTCCGTTGGAGGAAGAGGATTAATTTTGTCAAAATTATGTGGTCGATTTGTCAATAGTTGCTATGTTTTACTTAAGTGAGGTAGTTAACTTACCTTTAAGATTATATATTTCCTTTCAAAAAACCACAAATCTCTTGTATGAGACATCTTAGCATGGAAGACTTTTACGTAGCAATCAAAGCCAATCTTTCATCGATTATTTGAATAAGAAGCTCGATAATACTTACAACTTATATCCCTCTGAGGTAAGGATCCGCGATTGTCGCTAAATGGCCGTATTTTGTTTTCCTTTTTCTTCCAATAGTAAAAATAGGAAGTTGTTTTTCCAATGAAGTTCTTCCTGTACTTTACGGATGAAAGAGAACAATAGAATTCCGTGATGCAGGCATATTAAACAAAATTGCGTATTCAAGCAAGCAAACAACTTCCCTCTTCGTTTCGAGAGTATGTGTTGCTTAAATTCAAATAGTAATAATGCCTGGTTTCCTTATTTCAGTCTAAAGGTATTGTTTAATCTCAAAATATCGTTTGGAGCACCAGATTGCCAAAATTTGCGCCAATATTAGCCGCAAAGCTAATTGCATCGAACCAGCACTATTATGCTTTGTTTTCCTGCTAGCAGAACGATCGCTCCTCATTGTTCCCTGTGTGGATACTGTCATTGTTTGTGACCACCGACTATAAAAAAGCTATAGCGGAATTTGTAGAAATGTTTATAAAATTACTTGTAGAGCGATGATTTATAAACGAAATAATAATAATAATAATATTTGAAAAAAGACTGGAAAGAGAGAAAAAGATTTTATCAAAGTATTTAAAACGCACAGGATTCATTAGACGAAACTATCACTGTTGCATATTTAAAACGCACAGGATTCATTAGACGAAACTATCCCAGTTGCATTGACCCCCATTGCAGAGGCTGTCATAAGTGGCTGTCGTTAGATGATGGTCGGTTGAGATGGCTTCGACAAGTCGACCATAATTATATCTACCATGTATTAAAATTATATCCATTGATGGATCAAAGAAGATGCGACATTAAATTTTATGCTATTTGTGACACCCCGTGCTTATTTTTTCCCTATTGTACACTCTCATCATTACTTCTGTGTTATAAAAATGTGAATAGTAGAAATTGTGGAAATCCTTTGTTCTAACGGACAGAAAAGAGAGTCTCTAACTGTTTTGGTTCAACTTCCTTCCAAGAATTTTTGAAAGACGTGCTTAGCTTCCTAATTCCTACGAGATATTTTTCATGTGATATTTTTCACATGATGAGTGGAAGCATGTAGTCTGGTCTTCTCAGAGACACTTTAGAATCAGTCAAAATTGAATACTATGCCACGTACACAAAGTGACATACAAATCTAATTTACAAGGTATTAAGTTCCCAGATTTAATCATTTTATTAGCATGCTCTTTTATTGTGTTCTGAGGAACTTTACTGAGATAAACAGATTTCTTACTGTCGTGGAAATGACGTAAAAACGAATAAAAGCACTTTCGTTTGATTGCGTGTTTCGTAGTCAAATTTGTTATCCGCGCGGCATTCAATCTTATCCCCCACAGTTGCGAACTTGGCGGAAAATGTCACGCTCTTGCCATTGTTCTTGTGTAATATCCAATATTTGTGAAAATGAATGTTCAACGAGCTTCAGTTTTCAACCGGAGACAGAAAGGTGTTAGTTCATTACGATTTCTCACAGATTGCCAATGGAGGAAAAGTGGGAATTTTCCACGTCATTTACATCAAAATCTTGACTCACCGAGCAGCAAGCGAACTGTTTTTTATCAAGGATTACATCGTTATCCCATTATCAGCACATAATATAAAACATCGATCACCTTCGACGATTGAAGTAACTGCATTTAGACTTTCTTTTAAGGTTTCTGTCTCGTTGTTGACCATAGTGATCATATGCATTGAATTTCTCCAGATTGGTGAATGTTCTTTGGAATATGTTTCATTGCTGTTGTGCTTCTATGCACGAAAAACTTTTTTGTCTTATCCAAGACAGGAGATCGTTAAATTGGTTTAACTGTGTGGGTTTGTCAAGTATTGTTTAAAGCAACGCCCCCTCAATTTACACTTTGGTACAAAGCCTGTGGACACACCAAGGTCATTTTGACATCCCTGCGTTTAATACATAACAACAGACACTAATGATTCTTTTGTGCTAAACACTATGACAAAGGCTAAGAGAATTACGGGAAGTGTTTGTGTCAATCGAAAGTCAGTACCGTTTTCACTCATCGCCACATTTACTGTAGCGGATTGCACAATAAATTTATAAAATATCTGTCGATTTCTGCCACGGATTTGAGGAATAGTTGGATTTACATTTGGTCGGCTTACGATCCCTTACTTCGCAGACACCTAACAACATGGTCTTCTTATTGATTCTTACTGCCATAACGCTAAATTTCTTGAACCATTCGAACTCAAAAAACTAAGTACGCGTATGGTAGAGTTTTAAGTTTTGGAAGGCAAACAGAGCTTTGTGGAAAGCAAAGTCAGGGAAATATGACAATACTTTTTCAAGAGATGAAGAAGTTAAACTGTTTTTTTCTTGTCTTTTGCATTGGAGAAGAGATGCACAATCATTTGACATCTTATCACATTCCCTTGGAATTGAAAGGAAAAGATTAAAATCATAAGACTTGTCAAGGGTCACAAAGACCTGTTCTTAAGCAGAACACTGGTCTTGACGGAGCCGTTGAACGGATAATGAAGTTCGTGACGGGATCGCCTTTGAATCTCGGCTAAAGAAAGGCAACTAATAAAGTAGAAGAAAAGCTTATAAAAACCAGCTTTTATTTCGCAGTCGAGTGTTAAAAAGGAGTGGGAGATAGTTGCTATTTTAAATCGCTGTAAAAATTTGTTATACAACCGCGTACATCATTTATACTCTGACATTTGGTCACAACGATCTCTTTGAAAAGAAGATTTGTATTCGCTGAATGTTTCATTTCCAAAACCACAGCAAATTTAGCATAAAGCTTTCTTTCCCGTTTAATCAATAAAGACATCGTAGCATTTTCTCCGAAGAAACGTATGCTCATAGTCCATAGATTTCAAGATACTGCGGCTTATAGTAGAACTGCGACTCATGATGTGATGTTAGGTATTTTGTGCTGCTATATAACTGCTATAACGTCTTCTAATTCAAGTTTATATGCTCGCCGTTTTCAGCAAAAAACAGGCAGAGATTACTTTCGAACACAGAAGCGAGAAAAATCAGGAAAGAGGGCCGAGATGATCCGCTTTGATAAAAATTACATTGGTTATTTCGACCTCAGTCATGTACTGGATTCGGTCAAGCCGATTTGCTGCACGCCATAGAAAGATATTCAAAACATGCGACGCAAAATTTGGTTTACCACTAACTAGAAGAAAAGGCGTCAAATATTTGGGGCGACTATGTTAGTGTTGGGGTACAGAGCCAAAGAAACGATTAAGAAAGGCTTGTTTTTCTTCAACTGTTATGCTTTCCGCTTACCTTCAAATGTTTAATGAACCTCTCTTTAATCAACCTTGCCGGCTGCAACTATGGCTATCGAATATCTTGTGACTGTTTGGGAATAAGCAATGCTTGTAAATAATTCTTCGTATAGGACCGATCTACCTCTGGTCTTGTGTAAGCACTGTTTATATACTCCTTTTTTCCGGGACGGCGCCTAATGCATTCCAACAAATATGATGTGTACATACGGGATGCTTTGAGATTAAACAGACTTTGACGAATTTCTGCTCTGTTCTGTGTCAAAGTCTAAAGGACCCAGATGCAGTTGGCGTGGCTCAGTGGACACCTGAGTGACCCCTGGTGTTCGAAACCTTGGTGATGTATTAGGGTGTTGTCTTCGTAATGGACGCTATTGAAATAAAAGGTCTCGACATTTCTTTGTGTTATCTGCTCAAAATGTTTCAAAATCTTCTGTTATCTTGACAGTCCTACCGGCACGGCTGGAAAGAGACAATCCTTATATAGCGGCTGTTAATAAATCGAAAATTCACTGACGGTTATATGCGTGTTAAAGTTCGGCTTGCATGACTGGGGAACTTCTTCGCTCCGTGTATGGCAGACAGTGAAAGAGGACTGTCTGTGGCCATTTCCGTTAAATTAAGAAATTCAAAATACCCATTTTCTGGTCGGTTTCTTCATTCACTTTTCTTCATCACATGTAAAGAAATATGGAAGTACCAGGAAGTAGTTATTCATTATATGGTTAAGCTATAAACAAGAGAATTTTATAAAAAGCAGAAAATTTTAAGTAGCAGATATGTACATCATAGCCTGTGAGACTGATGTGCATTAAATGGAATTAGCATTTTGTGGGATTTATTCAAGTGTCTTTATTAGGGCTTATAATACGCTTTTTATAGATTCACGGAAACTTTGAAACCCTCTTTCTTACCCAGAGAGACGGATGTTGAAATCAGGGCACTTTTGGCTGTGTAAGTGACTATCTTATGCATGTCTGGCATGTTGGAAAGTTCAAATGAATTTTCAACCTACCCGAAAGTCGTAAAATGGAGTCTTATGAAAAGAGAAATTTATACTTGACATTTCATTGAAAATGGATCAGCTTCGTTAAAAATAGAGTTATATTGACGTGTGAATCAGTGGTAATCCTCATAGACACAAAAAGATAAATAATCTGTGGTTAGTCTAGAACATTTATCACAAAAATATGTTTCACATCATAGGTGGCATATCTTCATTCTTAGATATATCATTAAACAAATACACCAAGTGCTCTTTTCATGGAGGGACCCAATTTTTATTTTTTCAGATTACTTTGCCCTTTAATTTAAAATTTTAGTGCAATATGAAAGCGAAAACTGATTTTTACCGTGTTCTTAGTATTCATCACGATAAAAAATCATTTCTAAATGATGTTCAATTTTTTTGGTGGAAATATCGGTTAATCATTCTTCAGTAGTTTGGATGAATCTTCTTCATCTCCATCCATCTTTAGTTTCATATTCTTGTCTCTTTGGTGTAGCAAGCACCCACCCCCCCCTTTTTATTTAGAGATTTGATTCCACTTAGGGAAAATTTTTAGTGACCCCCCCCCCCCCCCAACAATTTCGTGACTTATTTTCTCAAACCAAAATTCAAAAGTATCACCAAATCAGACTTATTTCAAGGTTCAGGCCCACCAGAGAAGATAGCTCGCCTCCTATCTCTTGTTATGGACCCTTTTGTTGGCTGTAACTCCAGTTTAAGCCAAGTGATGATTTCCGCTCATTGAAGATTAAAAATTATGGAGGAACCCTGGGTTTTTCCTCTTCACTGAAGAGAAAAGCCTTTCATAAAGTATTTTGCTAGTCAAGGACCGACCATGTTTACTATTGGTTGATTAGCAAAGAGGGGAACAGAGTGCTGCTCAGGACAACTGGAGACACGGCTTCCGTTCTTGAACGAGGAAAGGTGGGAATCACATCAACAATAACATAGGACTTGCGAGTAGAGACTGAATTGCAGACTTGGCCTCACACAACGCCAAGTTCTTAATTCTACTGTCTAATCATTAAGACTGTAAGCCTTGCTTCATCGCCAATTTACACTCATTGCTCTGAAGAGTCGCGTCAAATCGTCTTTCCTGAAGAAATAGAATTAGCAAGAAGCTGACTTGGCCGGTAGTAAACGAAACGCAAATTAGATAATTAGTTAACGTGGCTGGTAACAGGAAATTTTAAAATCCATTACTTAACCTTCAATTAACTTCTCAGAGCTTGAGGAAAAGTGAAGCTTTTTATTCATTCTCTGATTTTTGTGAAAGGAAAGGACAATGCATGAGGCTTTTTTTCGGTATGAACGCTGGCATCACTGCTTTAGGGTGATATAATCCGAAGTGAAAGAATTGGATGTTTTATGATTTAAAAGGGTTTTTGATGGAGAAGTTAAATACGCGAGATTATCCGACTAATAATAGCTTTTCCTTCCAAAGAATAACCTCCACAGAGAAGTGGAAAAGATTACCCTCGACCTACGCAGCATAATCCTACCGAGCTTATACCCTTCAAGTGATAACAAACATCGAGGACGAATATGTTACCAGCTGAAAGATATCGAAAGTTGGAGTTTCTTTATTAATGTTTGAAAAGGGTCCCCTGAACCCCTTTGTAAAACTCAGTCGCGTAAAAATATTTGGCTTTTTCACGCATCATGAATAATATCCAAAATTCTTTCACTTTCATCATGTTTAACATAAAAATAAAAAACCAAATTTATCGATTAAATTTTTACTTTTTCTAGTCTCGACCAATCCTAAATGACAAAAGCTGACGTTATGTCTTATCTTATTTGTTCAAGAACCATTAGAGGTCCATTTTATGGCATTTATCGACCCGTATGAAGTCTATGTCCTGTCTGAAAACCCTGACAATTTACGAGGAAAAAAGTCGCCCTATCATGCTTCACGTAAAAGGGATAGGGGACCCTCTTTATAGCATGATGTTCTTAATGGCTGAAGGAAACAAAACAATGTGGCAAGACCTATCCAGGAGGCTATATCATTCAGCTCTGTTTAGCTTGGGGAGATAGAGGGTTTAAGCCTAGGGTGTACCTTGGAAGTAAATGGGTGGGTGTTTATTCCAGCAGTTTATGTGGGCTTGTGATCAGGCTCACAGCGGAGTTTACCTTCTGGGTTTCTTGAACATTACAAACTGTGGAAGGTGGTTTTTCAGAATGTCTGGTGAAAATCGATAAGAGAAATGTTAGTAAGTACATCAAATGATAGCAGTAAGCTGTCTAAGTAATAGATCTTTCTCAATAATTTCCCGCCACAAATAAATAAATGAAATAAACATATTGGCTTGCTGCACAAAAAATAAAGCTTAAGAAAAGCATTTATCTCAACTGTCGTTATCGTTCGTAAAAAGAGACATTGCGCATTAAAGTGCATCCTCGTCAGAGGCCGGATAACTATCGACATCTCATTACGACAGAAAAAAGAAACGAACATGATAAATGACAAGATGAAAAAGATTATATGAATAAATTTAATAATGGTTTGAAGAACAAGATATATTCCCAGCCTAAAATGTCAAAAGAGAGAAACAACGAAATCATGCATAGTGTTAGTCAATAATCCGTGAAAGTATTTGGTCATAAACCCAAACCGTCTAAATGAAGGAATCATGATATAACCGTTTCTGCCTCTCAGATCTACCAAGATGACTTTCCAAAATATTTAGATTAGCAGATTTAGTAATGGCTCTTTGCGGTGAAATAAAAATTCATCGCTAATCTGTCAGCGGCAGGCCGTTTATTGCAGACTGTTGCACGGGTTCATTTGATATACACTCCGCGGCGTGCAGATAAGATTACAGCAACTGTGCAAAGGAAAACGATAAATAAAAACAAAAAATTGCAATCTTTTTCGACAAACACTTGCAGCTCTTTGCGAACAGCATGCCTGGAACAGAGTATGTATGCTTTCTCTTTGCTGATATCAAGTTTGATCAACTCTGCTGAAGTGCTCGCTAATGTAATAGTTTGTGTCAAATTATGTCTTCATTTCGGAATTGCTTAGATTTCACACTGTGCAATTAGTTATATTACCCTCCGAGTCATGAAAAAATATATTTATATTACATGAACTAAAGCTCACTTTACTTATGTCAGTTGAACACGTCCATAAATCAAAAAATGCTCAATGATAGTGCTAGTAAAGTGCCAAACAATGGAGCAGTTATTGAAGCATGAAAGAGAAACATTTGGGGTATTCTATAAGACTTTTAAATATTTTTTCGAAAACAAATCTAAAGGTGTTCTTAGAGGATCCTCAAGTGTACTGTTTCCCCTTTTTCTTACGAGGACTTTTTTTAATTTCTCTTTTTATTAATTAACTTTTATTTATTTATGTTTGTATTTGTTAAGCGAAAGAATGACTTGCTCTCCAATTAAGGCCTCTCAATTTCTAAACTATCCCATGCGCCCTTGCACTTCTTGAGCTTGGAGACTTTGGGTCATCTTATCAAAAACTAGAGACAATCAAAGAGTGAGCTGCCAGAATTCTTGCTGTAGCAAAAGGCAATTTTGAGCTGGATATGACGCACATAGTACTGTGTCCAAAGGCAGTTTAACAAGATTTGTTTCCATCGCCCGCCTTGTGCCCTTGTCTTATTACTCCTCACAGTGGGTCTGCTGACATTGCAACCTATCCGCCGATAATTTGTCATGAATCATTTAAGATTAAGCCAAGCTTCTATGGCAGAGACTTAATCTGGTAATAAAGAGAGCCTTTATGACATTTTTCTCGTCAGAGCTCGTCCAATATAAACAAAAGCTACTTGGTTTAAGGGATATGTAGACACCGCGGTATTATCGTAGACTTTTTAAAACTTGGGTTCCCACTGCGCTTTCAGGTTTCCTAGAGAGTGATCCCATTTCAGCTTCCTGTCGAAAATTCATCTGTTTAGTTAACTATTGCTTCTTCACAAATATTCAGTTTCCTGCAAGAAACTCGTTCAGAAAACATTTCACGCTCGATATCATTTTCGTTTGACTTGTCCCATTTAATCATCAATCGATCATCGTTGGTTTAAATGTCTCAATGACAACGAATTTACCTAGCCTAGCTTCATTTCACATAAAATAAGTGTGTGAAAACTAGCACATATGCGATTCTTAAATTTAAGGGGGCAGCTACACCTTTAAATTTGTTTAAGCGACTCTACTGATTCAAAAATTTACAATTTCTATTTTTACTTATTTTACTTAAAAATAGTGAAGAATGTCATAAATTGCCCGCGGGCCATATAGCATTAGGTCGAGCTAAACTGGAGACAGTTGTCTTTGCTATTTTTATAAATATGTCAAGTTTAAATGTGTTGAAACAGATCGTACTGCCTCAGGCAATTCATTTTTGACGACACAAAGCATGCCAAACATTTTTTCAATAATATGTTTTTGTGTTAAAATTGCATTGTATAAATTGACCTCAATTTTACCGAGGGTTCAAATTAATTTTAAGTTTCATTAACAGAGTTTTGCTTGATTAACATTTTTGGCCTGAATTAATGATATTTACAGATGCGAGAAAATCAGGTAATTGAGTTCGCTCTCTTTTTAGTCAAATAACAATACATCAAATGAGATATTCCCGATCATAATTTAACGTTAATTAACGGTTAATTTGTTGAAATTAGGATAATGAAAATGCGGAAAATCGACGTACTTTGTGACACAAACAATTTGTAGGAATCTACGTGGTACACATATTTGTACGCAATGCACAATTTACCTTTTAGAAATCAGTTCCTTCGATTTGTAGTTTCTCAATTAATAGTAAGTTAATCATAGATTCTCAAGACCGCCGACCCAGCTTGGATGAATCCATGCAGCTAATCCATACTGAAAAATGTCTTAATGACGCTCCTAACAACAGATTTTTGGTCCGTTTATGCTGCTCTTCAAACTGTGATAAACAATGTTCCTAAAAACTGTTTCATCCAATAAAGTTAATTTAATCGTGTCTTAATAGCATTATATTATCACAATAGAGGAAAGTATCTGTTTAAATGGATTATTGTGATTCAGTCAAGAATTGCGACATGAATTTTTGTGCATGTTATTCTGTTCTATACAAAGTGGAACTCTCAAGCCTTTCCATACCTCCGTTCCTTATCCTAAACCTCATCCTTAATATCAAAAAAACTTATTTTACCTAAACGGCAGCTTATTTGGAAAAAGAGGAAATAACTAGAAAAATTGGTGTTAAACACGAGAGACCTTTAAGAACTTTAACAGAGGAAATAAAGGGAACAACATAATGTTCTCGAATCAAAGAGCGCATTGCATGAGAATCTTAAGCAAGTCCCTAAACACCACAAGGCGAATTAAAAATTGGCAGCGACATATTTGGTATGCAATGCGCTTTTCGACAAAAATTAGACAAGGATTGATTTCTTTTTTAATATCCTTTATTTATGCATTTCAAGCTTCAGTCCATATGTTTTATTTACTATACAATCATTACATATATTAAACAATTTCATATCAAATAAAGAAACTTTTTCTTTGGTTAAAATAACCCAATAGCCCCTTTACTCGCAGATCCTCAAGAAATTTAAACTTCCCAACAAATAACTGTAGAAACTTGCGCAAGGTGACAATTTCAGTCGTGTATGCTCTGATCAGAGCTTGAAAGAATAATCTAGACTAGTTTGGCCCTAAAATTATTTGTACACTTAATAATTAGATTGCACTCGCATCACAAGATAGCTTTCTTATATACCCATGTTTTACACCAAACTTTAGGTAACTATTTACACGTTAGCTGGAATCGAAGAATTTATCAACAATATATTATATGAGGTTTTGCCTTATATGTTTTACTTTATAGTAACGTTCTGTAAAGCCCCAGGTTGAAAAGACTTTATGTAAAATACCGTTAGTGAAACAATTGAAACTAGCTAAATAAGTACAAGATATAGAGTGGCATGTATTCATTATGTAATAACAAGATATTATAATATCTTGGTTACTAAAATAATAAAAAGTAAATACGCAAATGAATAACTGACACAGGAAAAAAAGTTGCATATAGATAACGAAGTTACTTTACTCATACATAACTATTTGACCATAAATTCTGATTTCTACTTTAAAACCTTTAAGTGAAATGCGAACATTGAGCGAAAGATGTGAAAATCCAGACAAAAAAATATAAGAAAATAGCATTCAGCTGAAAATCGGAGAAAGTATTTCATACTATTAGGCTGTTGAATGTTGTTTGACAAACTTTAAGATTTGCACTTGAAACCACAATGTGTGACTATTCAAAAGGAAGAAATCTCCTGCAAAACCTTTTATCACGCTGGACAGGTTTTTAACTTGAAAACTTATTGTTTGAATACTGAATTACAAGTTGCTGAGTAAGTATTTCAAATCTAAAGCTTAGAATTCAAGAACTAAAATCATATATTACTCTGCAAAGATGATTGAACGTTAAACCTTGGACTGGAAGGTTAAACAGAGTCATTTTCGACAACAATGATCACTGAAGAACAAGGTACAATAACAAATGACTGCTACGTACTACAGCCGGAAATTACTAACGTCAAAGGGTCCAGCTTAGAAAGTCCATTGGGTTGAATCTATTCAAAAACTCATGTAAAGTAACACCAAGCACTTACCAAAACGAAAACAACGAAGACAAGTAGTAAATCACCCTACAGTATCTTTTTAGGCAAAAGTTTAGGAAATATGTAATTTCTGGCCCATAAACAATAACTCGGTGCAATGTATTTTCTAAACATTCGTGCCATAAGGCAACGGACTCTGCATTCTTGCGGTTCAAAAGCGAACGAGCGTTCTCATGACTTCAGATAATGTTCTACCTCACAGAAAGACTTTCATGAAATCCTAAAAGGTTTTGCGAGATAATTCCAAAGAAAAACAGGTTTAGTTTCATTAAAACGAAGCTTTTAGAGGATTCCAAGAACAAAGCTAGCATGCTGATCCTTAAATGCGTTTCGGAAGAATCGATACTCTGCCATTTGAATCTTATTAAATGGCAAACAAGTTTTCCTTTTCTTGAAGACAATGCGAGGATTACTGTCAGGGAATTGTATTCCAGAATAAGCTATTTATCTAAACTAATTGGTTTTATCAAAAACCTGGTATGTAACGTAATTTTTTTCTTCTGCTTTATACGCGTTTCCAGCCTGTACGAGGTTTTGTGCCTTTAAAACGATCCCTTAGACGTACAACTAAAGCTTTATCTTGGTGCCATTGGATGCATATGCGCATGCTCTAAGGGCATGTAGGATCCACCGTTTGGACTTGAGCAGTAATACGGAGGAGGTGGTGGTGGGGGCATGAAGGAAGGACTTGCAGTAGACATTGCCATGCTGTTGTTAATGACAGCATGAGAGGGGTACGTGGGCATGGGCCTTACGGAGTCGTGCGCCGGGCTCCAGATATTCCCACAGCTGGCGTACCTGCATGGTGATGGGCCCGCCTGTGAGGAATCTTTACTTACAGTTGGCGCTTTCGGCTTGGGTTTGGGTTTGGGTTCCCCTTTGCTCTGTTGTCGAACTTTGGCGCGTCGGTTTTTAAACCACACCTGTTGAAAAAGGAAAATAAATAAATAAACATCCAGTGCCGTTAAATTGCAAATGGCGCCTGCGAAACAAGTGGAATTCAATTGTTGTCTAGTGTTTTGTTTGTTTTGTATCCAGTGGCGATTTACGTTGAGTAGCAATAGCATTTTGAAAAGATAAGAAGCAGAAAAATAACGAAAGCTCGATTAGAAGGTTTAGGTGGAAAAGTTAGTATTGCTACTCAAATAAAAGTCAATAAAGAAGTTCGGAGGTTTTGTGTTAGCATTACGATCAAGTTTGACGCAAGATCCTGCCTTTTTGCGTGAGCGTGACTTTCGGGAAAGGTCTTAAGTAGTTTTCTCTGGAGAGTTTCAGGTCCTAATAAATACAATATAAAAAGGAGACACATCATACAACAAATGCACGCAAAACGGAGGTCAAGCGCGCTGTCTCGACATACAAACAAACACGCGATCTCAAACCTCACGCACACTAAATAAAACAAGACATTCTTCTTTCACTAAATAAAACGTGGTCGATACATTGCTCCTTGTTGGCTTTTTATAAGCCTGCATTTCTCAAATAAAATATATTTAACCTTGGTATCATTACGTGAGAACAGATGAACTGTCTAAGGGCGTGAAATTCCTTGACACTACATTCGTGTGTACGTACACAATCCAGGCGTACACCCTTAAATGATAAATACTCGGAAGTTAAAATATTTTAATATAATTAGAATTTACACCTGATCAAGTAGAGACTGAGCAAACCACAACGAATTTTTTCAGTTTGAAATTGGAGGTTAAACGAGGGAATTAGATATTCTTTTTTGACGGTCTCACATTAAGCTAAATTTGTGGAAGTCTTTCTTTTCATTAATAAATTTGTATTTTGGACTGGCATATCGAAGTAAGGGATTGAAGCTGCGGGTCATGTTCGTTTCTAGTACTTGAATGTGCTCTGACTAAACAACTTTGGTGGCAATTTGCCCTTCCAAGTCTACCAACAAGAATAAATGAAGAAAACAGAACAACTTTTCATTTGTCGTTAAAAAAGAAAGAAGGCTATCAAGATAATATTTCTGTTCTGAACCCCCCCTACTCCCCACACCCCCGCTCCCATTTTTAGTTGTTTTGAAATCTGTCTTTACAAAGTTGCTTTTAGCGTTTGGGGTCTTTTTTAAAGTTTATAACACTTAATCAAGTGCGACTTGACAGACCACTTTTAAACCATTACACGTAATGGATAAAAAAACATTTGAAAGCTCTAAAACCCACAACTGATCATATAGTTTAATGGGGCCGGAAAAAACGGAAAACATTCCTTCCTGGGTGCCAATTTGCGGTGAAGAAACATTTCATATCGCCTACTAAAAGTTTTCCTCCTCCTCTCGTTCAATCACGTACGTGTTTGTAATTGTTTTGAGTGAACAGAGAGAATTGCTTGTATTCGTACTTTGAATGGTCTGAAGTTCAATTTTGAAAAAACAAAAAATATTTATTGTTAGTAACAATTGTTCATGCTTTGAAAACACATGAAACTAGTTAAAACCTTGTCACTACGAGATCCTGATGAACCAGGACAATGTTTTCCGCTGTGAACACAGGTTTAAGACAGTTTATAAACGTCAAATGATTAACCAAAATAAAAGGAAAGTTTTGCGAGGAAAGAATTCAGACGCATTCCATGCTTAATGCCTAAAGGGCAAACCCCAAACTTGGGAAACGCAATGAAAGTAGAAAGAGTGGATTAAACTCTTAGAAAAAGTACTTTGAACTGTCTCTTGTGTGTAGAATGAAAGGGGGAAAAGAAATGAGAACAGATTCGCGGTAATTTCATGCAAATGTTCTGCAGCGTTTTCTTCTCGAAGTGCTTTCCTATCGAACTTTAGACACAATCGGCCCCGCCTTGTTAAATGAGACTTTTTTCAGAATATACTTCGATAAGATTCTCAGTTCAGTTCAGTCATTTTTAAATGAACACGGAAGACAAACATTCCCTATTATTCCTATGGTGGTCAGTTTTCAAACATTCCATTGTAGAAAAAGATGACACGGTTTGGGTGCCCCCGATTAGCGCATCACTTGACTAATAAATTTTCTGTCATCTCAGTTCTTCACTCAAGCATTTATATTCCAAGTCGTGCAGTTGTTCACTGATTCTCCACTCCGAGAAAAAAAATAACTATACACTAAATTACCTGTACTCTTGATTCTGGTAGGTTGATTTTCATTGCAACTTCCTCTCTCATAAAGATATCAGGGTACTTTGTCTTGGAGAACAGTTCCTCCAAAATTTCAAGCTGAGCTTTTGTAAATGTAGTCCTCTCTCTTCTTTGTTTTCTTGGATAACCTGAAAGATTGATTTCCATCAACTCAAAAAAATGCCTGAATCGTTTAATTGCCGCTTAAACTAGATCCAGCTCAGCATTTAAAGACTGGAATACGTTTATCCTCTAAAAACAATGAAATCTTTATTACAGCAATAAAGTTCGACTTTAGGATTTGCCCTCAGAGCAAACGAGTTTACATGTTGGTTACACAGTCGTTTTGGCTTTATTCAGATGTATTTATGAAAGTCATTTGTCTTTATCAAACTTTGTTCAAGAGATTTTCTTTGTGGTTGAAATTGCGTACAATCTGTGTGGGGAATTGAGCCAACCTCTTTTTTGCCAAAGGAGTTTAACTTGATGTAATTTGAAGAGCAACGATACAAACTGAGCTATTTCCAAAGCAGGAAAAAACGAGTTTATTTATTTGCAACGATGTAGCGAATTTTGGCAAAAATTCCTAAGGTATTTGGAACCGTGTCATTGTGGTCTTTTTAAAATGTTTTATGTTGTTTTATCGTCTCAATGGGACGATATTTCCGTTCTCGTGAAGTTAAAGTAAATTTATTATTTAAACTCCCAAGCAATCATTCAAAGAAAGCGCACTTAAAGAAATAACATCATCTACTTTCGAGCATTTCAAAACACAAAGTTGTAAATCAGTTTGGCTGTTTTTCGAGTGGAAAAATGCTTCACCTTCCCCTATTGAAAGTTGTTCTCACAGAACACATTTTCGTTTGAAAATCGGCCCAGCTTAAATAGTTTTTGCGCCCGCAAATCCTTCGGGAGCGAAAAAATCTCGTCCTGTCCTTCCTGAACAAGATAAGGTATGATTTTAGCCAACTCAACAGGAATCAAACTTGATGACTAGAATTACAACACGGAAATTTCCTATGGTAGATAAATGAAACAGATGCCATAGTGTCTCACTTAATAAAACTACTATCCCAAACTTATTAAGAAGAGGGAATCAATTTATAACTTATCATTCCTTGATAGGAGGATTGAGAAAGGTTTTGATATGCTCTTGTTTTATCTTGGAGCTTGTTACAAGTTCTAAGCCCACACATCGCGCCCCAGTGAGCACGAGTAAAATAATCGATCGATCGAATAGTGCTCACAAAAAATATGCCAAAACAACCAAACAAGGCTCATAGTGAGGAGACCAGTGGTGTGCCAGTCTTAGATAAGTATTATATTCGATTAAGGCTTTACTTAGAGGGCTTTTTGGTTCTGTGGAGACCAAGACAAGACCATTGTTCCCATTTCGCGTCTAAAAATAAAGGAGGCCTACCATACGGCGGAGCGACCATTGGAGAGAACATGTCCGCGGTTCGCGGAGGCATGTTTAGACCGTTGACTGGATACGGTGGGTAATGATTCAGAAAACCCGCCATCTTGGATTCCTGGTGTAAGTTATGGAGTGCGTTGTATGCCGTGTGCTGCGGATGCAAATGAAAACACGAAATGATCAGCTCGCGGCTTAGACGCACGACCTTCTTCGCCAATTTGGCCCCTTCGGGACCCCCTGCAGATCATACCTGTCAAAGATATTAATACAGAAAGACGGGACAGAAAATCCGCTTGATAAAGCACTCTTCCTGAAATTCAACGTAACAAAAACAAGCCTGTCAAAGCTACACCCAGCCGGATTATTGTTCCCGGGTCAGAGAAAATATTCACGCGATTAGGTGGGCAAACTCAGGAGAGCTCAGAAACCGCCGTTCCAAGCCAATCAGTGCAGCGAGCGAGGCTGAATGCTTTTATTGAGCTCAAATCAAACGCAGGATAATTGTTGCTTTTTTTCTAATTTGGGACAATGTGGGAGGTCGTTAGTTTTGCAATGGTAGCCAAAAAGGAAGCCGCATGATTGTAAATGAAAAATACAAAGTCAGTCGATTAAAGCTGACTCTTTGTCACGAGAATTAAAAACATGCATATCTTCGCGCGAGAAGCTACTTCGCGGTCATTCTTATGACAATCGGAAACATTAGGCGTAATATTTCCTTTCTGTGCGCAATTTAAAGAACAGTCATGAACGATCGATATTTATCGTGAGAGAATCCTTGTGAAAAAAAAGTAAAAATTCAATCAATAAGTAAGGTAAAAATGCAAAATCCTCAAAAGAAAAGAACAAAATCTGCAAAGGTAATGAAAGAGATGCGGTTTCATTTATGTTGTTAATTATCGTCACCTCAAGAAGTCTTCAAGGTAATTAATGATCATGCCTCATATTCCGGGGAATATGCTGGAAGTAAGGAGCATTTCTCAATATCCTAGGACTGTGTTGAACAAGAAGAAAGAAAGATGTGAAAGCTGTAACTCGCGCTCGACATGATGGGCCACTTCAACCTTCCTCAGGCCAGTTTAGTTCTTATCTCATCAGCAACAAGGCGTAAATTGCTCTGGGTGTCTTGTCTGTGTCTAGTTAACCTAACTAGTGTCGACAACATTTCATTTACAATCACATCATCACTGCCTTACGAAGGAATTCTGTCAAAACCGAACTATACGAGCAACAGTTTCTAAATTATTATTATTTTACTTCTTATGCTAAATGGAAAGGGAAGACTTGATTCCAATTAAAACATTAGTTTTGTCCAAAAAAATTTATTGTAACCCTTTTTTTGAGTACGCTTTTATACATTTCCGTTGTGGAATTTCTGCAGTCTGAACATATCATTTAAGTTGAAAAGTACCGGCATCTATATGTACAAGGTCAGTTAAAAATCACTGATCTTCTTGCGCGGTTTTGTTGCCGTTGAAATCAATAATCCTTTTCAACGAAATTTAAAAAGTTTTCGATGGCTTGTTGGCAAAATACTTCTTTTGTCGTAACTTGGGAAGGTGCCAGTCTGTCTTAAACTCTAAAGGAATTCTAGCTTCTACCAGGGATTTAAGGTTGATATCGGGACATTCTATGATCAATCTATCTGTCAAACGATCCCTAACCTTCATGATTTGAGAGACAAATGAAGACAAATCGGTGAAAAAGCTTTAGAGAGGATTAAATCTCCATTTTTTGTACTTTGTGCCCCTTCGCAAGTCGTTTTACAAAACTAATAATTAATATTGAAAGGCCATAATCCTAAATTTCGCCAGAAACACGTGTGAAGAACGGGTTTACAAGATTAATTAAACGGTAAACCTCCTTACCAAGGAGAATGGAAAAGGAGAGAACCAACGGATATATTTTCGCGCCCCAGTGACCGGTGACTCGTGTCGTTAATTTACGAAAGGAAACCACAGACCTGTAGATATTGAAAGATCGCGATTGATAACCTGGGATTTTGATGAGTGAGTCTTTAGGTAATGAGAGAACCTTGAGAATAGGACATAAAGTATTACTTACAAACTCAAAAGCTTGCGTTTCCTTGAAGAAACAATTCAGAGAACTTTTTGAGAAGAAGGAACGCGGAGAGGGAAGGCAAGCGTTGTAGGTTTGATGCGATGAAAAAGGCATTTCTTTTTTCTTTGATCTCCTTCGATAGAAATTTCTAGTCATGTAAAACGCCAGGAGCTTCCTGGATGAAGACGTATCTAGGGACTCTTTATGGAAGTTAAGTTTCGAGAGTTGCACCTTTAATTTAATTCTTGAAGAAAAAACGGATGTCCCATAGATTCGCACGCTCTAATCCACTGACAGCCTAGTTTAGTGAAAGGCTGGCTTAACTCAAATTGTTTGACGATGGTATATTGCCTGAAATGACACAACTGAGAATTGGCGGCCTTGCGTAAAGGTTAATTTTGAAAGACGCACAAGGAGTTATGATCCTTTTATTCGTCCGTTGTATTTGCAATTGCACACAATAGAAGCCCAAAGAAATGATAAATATCTCCTCTTACGTCACAGAAGAACGAATAATTCATCGCTTGCCCAAATTCAAAGGATTTTCAATTAAAACCAAACGCGGACTAATTATCGTTTTAATTTTAAGACTGTTAGATTTGGTCTTGCCTTTAAGCTCAAGATATTGGAAACATGGGAACAGAATGCGATACACCACCCTTTGTAAACAAAGTGGGTTGCATTTTAAATAGCAAAACCAGCCCTGGAAAAGCTGCATATTAAAAATGGCTGGAAATCTAGCTTCAAACTATGATAGCGAAATGTTTTAGATAAAAAAATCACTGTTACCAAGAACGAGAAGAAAACCAGCTCAACTTGTTACATAGAAGGTCAAAGTTAAATTTTGTTTATCGACTTTGTATCAGCTGACCCAATCATAAAAGTATACTGACTCTACTAATAACAATTATTTTTTTTCTTTGAATTCTTCGGTACTTTTTTCGCATGAATCATACCCAAGTCTTTTTTTTTTTATTTGGTTCGGAAAGGTCTTTAATAAAGAAATTCGTCTTTGAATACCCTTTGTTAAATCTATTCGCTTTTGTTAACTAATTAAGGAAAGAGTTCCTCACAAACGCTTTTACAGCTAAGGAAGCTTAAGCTTCTCACAGATCACCCTTACAGATTAATAAAAATTTTGATGAAAGGTTTCTATTTGTCCCTTTCACTTGTGTGAGAGGCACATCACTGTTGGACAAAACAACTCAAACAAATCGTTCAATAAAACACATTTTACTTTCAAGTTTAACAAAAAAAGTGTGTTTTATTAAAAGAAAGCGCAATAAAACATGCTTGATAACACGCGCATAAAGTGGATTTGTCTTGAAATGAAAAGGAAATATTTGAGAGTGAAATATTTTTACGCGCAAAGATAAAATATCCTCGATCAAATGTGAAAACTTAACAATAAAGAGTATCGGAAACACTGAAGTTTCGAGAGTTTCAGAAGATAAAACACAAAAGACAAATAGAAAACTTCTCAGGGACTGCAAATCTGATCACGGAATGCCACTTCCTGCTTTATTACCGTGAACGAAAACAACTGCAACAGAAACCGCTATGCGATTTTTTCTCGCAATCGCGAAAACGACAACCTTCTAGAAAACGTGAACCTTACTTTTCCCTCTTTAGAAAACTGTGAGAAAAAATGCTTGCACGCGTGTTTGTCTTGCTGGCCGAGTTTCCGGATTAAGAGGTCTTCGATCTGTGGTTTTTCAATCAATTTCACGCACATAGAGCGAACTGAAATCTAAGAAAACTCATGGCGATGCTTGACGGGAGCGCTGACAAAAAGAAAACAAAGTTTCGTTTGATAAGCTTCCGCTGAAAACCGCTTCGTAAGGGGGCAATGCTAAAAATTCCTGGTGGAAATCAAACATTACTTCAAAACACCCTCCCTCCTGCTGAGATGACTAAATAGTTTCCTTCTCTGCTGCCTCTTTGTTTATCCTGTGCTAAAAAAATATGGTTGGATCACACATTTGCCAGTCTCTTTTTATGAGCAGGAAGAGCCGAATCAAAACGAAATTTAAACAGCGGGTTTGTTATTTAACATCAAGTCTATGAGTTCGTGATCGATAATCGGTCTTATATAAACAGTACTTAAATCTATGTTTTCCGTGCAACACGCGCGATTGGGTCAATCGATAGAAGGGATGAAAACGTCTTTCGTTGGGCTAAGACTATTTGCCCGTGATAGGCTGCACTCGAGAGACGTTATGTAGCAAATAATGATCAATGTTTTTTCAGAGATAAAGATGCTTCAAAATTACCTCTTGTAAGCTTTGTATCATGTCGATCATGCTGCCAAAATGGAGTGAAAGTAAACACAACTCTTACACTTGAGATGGCACTCACAATTAAACATAAAACTGTAAAAATACACAATCCCAACACAAATATTGATCTAGAAACATGGTAACTTTCCCTCACATTATTCCTTGTACAAGTATAACAGGAAAGATAAAAACAGACGAGCCTGGAAAAGGTCACCTTTAACTCTCTGCTAATCGTTATTGGGTGTCTGTCTGTTACGAGCCGCGAAAATGACTACCATCTACGTGAGCTTAAGCGTGTTCGCCAGTTTTGTAGCGCTTAGCTGTGTGTTATTTTCTAAGAGCATATACTAAGAGTAAATGCTGCTAGGACTCTGATTATAACCTCTACATATTAGAAGCCTGTGCGGATGGAAACACCTTGTGGGATTTCGCGAATCCCTTATTATCGGAATAATTGGTTTTTGAAAGTGTTTGGTGATCTTTCTTTCACCTCGATGGATTATTTCGTTTCTATCCTATTACTGAAGAGCCTAAAGGAATAGCTGACTTTCATACACGACAGTTTATGAAGGGAATGTTTTCTTATTAGTTTGTGCATCGCGATTTCCCTATCATACCACAGATTGGCAGAAACAAAGAGTTTATTGTTAAGAATTTTTCTTAAGGTCCTTGAACTGAGGCGGTGTTAGCTCAGCATGACGTGATGATATTGACTTCCACGTCGTGCAATAAGCTGCTGTAAATTGTCCAGAATTCCATGCTTGTCTAAGCGAAGAAGTCGTCCCTCCCACGAGCCGATAAACAGGCAGGTAAAATACGATTTAGCTAGACAATGCGCTCAGCGCTAAATCGCGATCGAAAAGTACTTAGCGCGCCCCTTGTAAGGAAGTGATTTCGTTCGATTTTCCGCTCTCGATGGCCGTCTCATATTGTTTTGTAGCGAACAGAAACCATTCAAGCGCGCAAATACAGACCTAGCACACAAAGTGATGGTCTACTTGAGATATATCTCAAATAAAACAAAGTTGTGCCACTATTACTTAGTACGTTTAGCCGGGTTTGCTTTTCATGGAGCGGAGAGAACACAAGATGCGCTGATTATTGTAACTATCATGTCTACTTGCACTTTCGTCTCTGATGTTGATATCGTAGTCAAAGGCTTCCGATAGCTTTAGTGGCTTATTCTGTAACACTGGTTAATACAGTAATGAAAATGTATAAATAAGGCTGTCTTAAAAGAAGATTGCTTGTAGTATGTACATCGATAAATCTCGGAGGATCAGTGAAATTTTAGAAATCAAAATTGTTTCATGTCAGAAGAGAGGCCATAGTGTGAATGACGAATAATAATAACTTCAGTATAACTTACCAGCAATTAAGAGTTCAAATGCAGCTTCTTGGCGAGAAGGAGGATCTAATCACAAACTGGTTTGTGCTGTCGTGAGGATCAAGACTGTTTAAATCCTTGCGAGTTCTGGAATGAAAACAAAATCAATGGAGTGCAAGAAGGGAGCATGATTTAGCACAAAATGTATGCGGTATCCCGCAGGAAAAGGTTAATATAACATTAACATCGTTAGAGTCTCACGGCAAGAGACCTGTCTCATCCAGTTACCTCTTTACGCTAAGCCAACGAGTTAAGAAATTTGCACAGTTTTTTACTCCTTTTCAGTCTGTTCCTCTCGAATGCATCGCAGTTTACATGTTTCTCTTTAAGTCTTATAATTGCCTTTATCCCTGTATATTAAACTTAGAAGGCCATGAGGAGATAGAGTTTTGTTATTTTAATCAAAAGAGGCGGGGATCTTTTCCAGATGCTGCGGCCGAAAATTTTTGCCGCACTGTTCTAAAACCCTTCAAAAGGCAACTGTTATTAAAATCACGTTCAATAAATTCAAATTATCCAGAGTGTTTATTTCAACAGCATATTGTGAACGATCTCATCAACTCTAATTTGCACCACTTTAACGGTGTAATAAACTAAGAAGAGAATATTTTGCCAATTATTTCATTCTGTTCTATTTGCATTTAAAAGGAAAATTTCGAACGCATTCAACGTTCGCCAGACACTAACCTTTGAGAAAAAACTCTGAGCGTTCACAACGTAACAATACCATGGAGCGATACAATAGAACTAGTTTCAATGACTTTAATAGACACTAGAAACGAATATATCCTTTTACTTGTGACCAATTCTAAAATGTATTCATCGCTGTCAAGACAAAAGCTTGCATCAGTTTAAGTTTGTCAGTGGCCTTTCATGATTCCGACTATCGGAGGAAGGCAAGTTATTAGTCGTAATTAACTAGATCGATTTCAGTGCGTGAAAGAGGACATCATATAAAACGTTTGTCTCTCTACAGGTAATGATTCAACCATCAATGGTAAATTTCAATATTTATATTTGCAGCTATATCATGTTTAAATACTGGATACCGCGCACCTATTTGATTTCTGATTTCTGTTAATTTTTAAATTGGCATTCGTGGCTTCATTTCACAGTTATGTAATTCACTCAGCCAAATCCACCTCATTTTTTTTCGATTTTAGTTGATGGAGAAAATGTGTATCCTCTACCCACGAATTCCTTTGAACACACTAATTCTACGGCGTTGTTGTAAGAGTTCTTTTCACCGAAGCAAATTCGTATAAACACTATTCACTTGTTGTGCATATTACTTGTGAGGACGCCATCGATTTTGAAATGACATTGTTTTGAAATTTCGGGCAATAAAAAGTGACAGTTAGGTCATAAAAAAAGAAGTGAAATCGGAGGGATTAAGATCTACTCTCCGCGCGAATTGTACCACAAAGAGTTTCCCCGGAAATTAAATCAAATCCGAATTTTATTAGTTCTCGCATCATTTGCTCTCTTCGATTCTTAACGATGACAAACAGAACTCCAGTTAACACAATGTCTTACATTCAAGCAACAATCTTAAACTGGAGCACAAGGTGCTTCTTAATGATCGGCCCATCGAATATATATAACAAAAACAAAGTCAAGACAATTCATATAGTTTGTGAATCCAATAAATTTGTTTTTGTAAACATGATCATTTTGATAAAAGCAGAAATAAGTTGTCCAATACCTCTCCCTACAAATATTCTCAGTGTAACGGTTTACTACCACTTTGCATAGATATTAAACTTGTACACAAGAAGGATCTTCTGGCAAATCCCTTCCTACAGGCCGGTAAAAGAAAAGCGCCTTTCACCGGAAAAGAGCGAAGGATGAAACGTATAAATTGCAATCTAACAAAGATCGACAATTGTCAGAAATGGAAACTACTACACATCAATTAACCTTCGCTAATTTTGGCGATGGGCTGTCATCGCGGTAAATTTTCATAAACGGATCATCATCTTAAATCCTCGCCCGTGATAATTGCAGTGGTATTTTCAGAGGAGAAGAGTCGACCGCCTTTCGGAAGAGGAAAAAATTAGTTAGGTCTTTATTAGTTCTTCTGCGCGCGGTTTGCCATGCACCCTGTTAACCCATAACTTTTCTCTGGGTTTCATCAGAGCTCTTAGTGACGCGCCTGAAGATAAAAAACTCCATAATACCGTGACTTGTTAAATTGTAGACTTACCTATATATTCCAACTATTTACAGTTTTCTGTTGACTGCCAGTGAGTTACATGTAAACAGAATATTTTGTTTAACAAGATGGTTAATGAAAGCTTGAAACACCCACCAGTCAATACTACACAGTTGTCATCGATGTAAAAGTGTCTTGAATATTTGCCTTGCTCTCGTGATACGTAATTTATATTCCAGCATTTACGGACTTGAGGTCAATAACAATACCACACCAATACTCTGTAAATAGACATGCTTTTCCGTGGGACACGCAAGGACATTTCTGGAAGGTTTTCATTTTTTGGACAGATGAAAGCTCAATCTATCAAAGGTCGACTAAAAGAAGTCTATTTCGATAATTTTGGATTTAATCCAAGCTAGAGTGGGTGAAAAGACAGTAGTTTGGTGATAGAAACCGCGACATAAACGTGTGCTCCAAGGCGAATGACTTTCCCCAAGGTTCCGGCTTAAGAGGTAAAGGATTAAAACATTTCTCTGGGTTGAATTACATGAGGCATATCATACTTGAGAGATCACAAGACCCAAGACTCGAGGCGACTCAAATTAATATCATTGAACGCGTGAACAAAATGATACAGTGGGAGTTCAAACTTAGTCTTCTTAACTTGTAATAATGTTTCGGTTTCTTGCTAACGTACTGATGTGCAGAAGATCAATTTGTCGTATGTTCATGTCTTCTTTATTAGCCAGCTAGCTGGGAGGGGTCGTTCTAAAACTCCACTTGAGACATGTCCAACCCTTAAAGCTGTCATTTTCAAATTTTTTGATTTAGTTGTTAAAATGATTTATTTTGAATCACGCCTAAAAGTGGGTTACAAGTTTCAAAACGTTATCAGTGCTGTTTAAAAGAAATCGCATGTCAAATCCCATCAACTGCGCACAATGTGTATGCCACCCTTTAAGTACTTGAGGATTATTTAAGGCTTACAGACACGATAAACCCTCTTTCGAAGTAATACTTATGCTGTGAGCACCGTCATTGCGTGTTTGCCAGAAGATTTTTTTAAGAAAGCCTTAAAGGACACGAGAAACGAGATTAGTCTCCCTGATTCCATTTAGCTCGTGACTCTCTGAGCTCTTAACTTTTCTTACAAATGTAAACATATTTTTTTACGTATCTTTGTAAATGTAAAATATCTGCCTGATATGGGATTTGTTTAACAACACGCACTAAAACATGATATTTTTTTGGCACTTCGCGTAATTTTTCAGTTGTTTAGTCTTAAACCCTTGAAATACTATAAAGCTTAAAAAATCAGCCAATTTTGTGGATATGTTTCTTTTGTAAATGTTCATAACAAACACCAAAAGAAGATGGAACTACCCGGCAGTTTTTATTTAAATGATCCAGCGCGTTGAGAACTTACGGTATAATGTAGAACCTGTAACCCACTTCGTTTACGATTTCAGAAACCTACGCCGTTCGAGAGGCCGAGAGAAAAGACCGTGGTTGAGATTAAGTTTATCACAACACACTCATATGTTGATCATGCACTCCCTAAGGAAATAGTTTTTTTTCAAATGGAAAGAACAGCCATAGTGTTTTACTTTGTAAATAATGGATTTCGTTGTTTTACTTCCCTAAGGATCAAGAATGCCCTCTCTTTTTTCTCCTTTTATTTCCACTTACAACATTTTAGTATTACACTCGCGGATCCAGATTTAAGTAAGATCCGGCATTTTTCAACGCCTTTGTCGCTTTGATTGTGCTAATTTTAGAGTTTCTGCCCTTGCAGTGTTTACAAATAATCCCCAAGTTGCGAAAGGGCGATAGATAGTGAAGTGTTTTTAGCTATTTCTAGAGCAATTTCCTGGCTTAACTTTTATAGTAAGCCGTTCTTGTTATCAGCGGTAGAGAGGAAACAGACTTCCCGATTGCTTAGCTTTGTGACTGCTTTTCAAAAATGCGCCGCATTAACAAAACTTGATAAAAATATCCATTTAGACATTATTTTGAGAAAGGTCGCTTAAAGAAGAAATTGGAATTATCCATAGTCAAATAACGGTCTGTTTGGAAAATATCTCCTTTTTGCAAGCAAATGTTTCCATTTTTTTAGTTGATATTTGCGTATTTTGTCCATCCTTAAAAAAACTAAAAGTCTGTAAGAGAGGTAGTCTGGTATTGTATACCTTTTGCATCCAATAGCTTCACTTGGTTTCACAGAGCCAAACAAAATGCTATTAGGAGGTCGAGAAGCTTTCATTGTTGCTATAACTAGCACGTGGGTAAAATTTGAATGCGAAAAGATTCTTAAGTCTTTCTGTGAGGTACGCACTTCAGATTTTTCCACGAGATAGATTTGAGGAACATCAACATAAGAGAAAAAGTCTCATGTTTGAAGGAGCGTGCCATACCTCGATAGCACTTAACGCGCACGCGGAGCATGCAGAAATCTGTCTTCTAATCTATACAAAGTACTCATTTGAAATGTGAAAATAAAATTAAAAAAACGTGCTGTAATGAACGTCAAGTGGTTGTTTCTGAGAGAAGAACAAGCAAGCAACACGTGCAGAGATCTACACCAAGAGATCAAGTTTAAATACGGACGTGCTCAGAGGCTCAGTCTTAAAGCAGGTCTGAAATTCTCAGATTGAAATCGTTAATCGAAATTGGGAGCAAGTAACTTTTCAAAATTAGGTATTCTATAGTTTGAAATGAACGTGACCAACACAGTTTGAACATTGCCCTTCGTGTGGCAGTCGCACCTGACCATCAATTCAGCTCAGGTTTCTTTCCTCAGTTACTGACCAAAGAGACTCAAAATTTTCACCCGTGTTGTGTTTAGTGTTTATTCATAGATAACATGATATACCAAAGGTAAATAATCCAGGGAACACCTTAAGCTTCAATGCAGTAAAGAACAAGAGTGTTGAAAACTTGACATTTTGAAAAGAAAGAGATGTCTTTCTGAACGATCAGCTAAGAGAATCTTTATGTCAAAATTCAATCTCCTTTGAATAAGGACACGTGTTTAGTGACTTAAGTCAAGAAGGAAATCAGCATTGTTTCGATTGTTGAGTGATTCATAACTTTTCCAAAAAAAAATATAACCGGAGGGTCGGCCTTTCAATAGTTCAACTGTCTGGTTATTACTCTCTGTCCAAGAAATCACACAGAAGATAAATGAAAGAAATTAATAATTGTTTAAATGCCCGTCCTAAAGTTATTGGTTCATTTTTTTTATTCAAACCTTCGTGTTAAGGTTCCTGCAGGGTTGATAGTACGCAGGTTTATATTGCTTTGATGAAAGTTTATTCAATCGACGCGACAAGAAACTTGCTGTGCCTCTAAAGATTTTCACAGCCTTGAGTATCGCAAGCTGGGACTGTAGATGTTTGCATCATACGAAACAGCTAAAGAATAGATTAGTTTAATAGTAGAGCGCCTCGTCCCATGACTCAATATTGAAAAAAAAATAGTTGTTACCTTTCGTCTGAAGTATCCTGGGTCTTTGAATGCGACCTCTTGGAATCCTAACTTCGTCTGTTAATTAAGTATTATGATTTCAATTTATCAGTTAAAACTGCTCAACATGCCAAATGCTCGATTTGTAAATTTATGCAACAAGGATTTTAACACTTCCTTATCGGAAAGCTGTGAAATATTTGTAATAAATTAACCCTTTAGGCAGCCCGAATCGTCTAGCCAATCTTTATTCTATAAACTCGTCAGATTATTGAGAAAAGGCTGGCTAATGATCCACTAGGGCCAAGTTCAGCCAATGAAAAAAATCAGCCCATCAGTCTGAAGACATTTTGTTTCTCGAATAGCTTGATTTCTCAACTTTTGTAATTGGAGATGATTTTATAAAATATAGAACGCGAAAAGAAGGAAAAAATTGTTTAAAATAACGAGGTCCTTTGTTGACGAACATGTACCCAAAACAGCGAATATGAATGACGAAACTCCAAATAGTTTTCGTATATGGCAAAAATTTCAAAGGAAAATCAACTTTAGATATAATCTCGTTTTCGAATTATTTCAGAAAGTGGGAATGTACTCATTGTTTGAGTTTCTTAGGTTGGGAAATCTACGAATGTCTATAAACTTTTTTGAAAATGAAATGACAATCTTTTTAAGATGTTAGTAAAAAAAAATCATTGTTTCCGATATCTAACACAAGAAATGAATATTAAACAGAAAGGAGAGAATATTTTTCATGGCAATCCCTCTTATCAAGTTGTAAAAGTTGTCTCTAATGTCCGAAGACCTGTTTAAAGCTCTCCCGACGTACGCTTGTTTACTTCACAAGCAGCTCAAAAAGTTGTAGGTAAGACCTTTTGACATAACCTTTGTTGAAAGACTATTGTCCGTGACGTTACTATAGAGCGAGCTCGGCGAATCTAGTTTTATACCGCGGGGGAAAAAATAGAAAATAAAACGGACCCTCTTGACTCAATGAATTATACAAGGTCCTTTTAAGTTCAAGATCGCCTTTAGAAAAAGGCTTAACGTTTCTAGATAGGGAGTCTTTACAAGAATTGGCTTCAAATTTGCATTACAAAGCCGGAGACAAGAGTAAAGTTGTTTAACTTCACACAATTCAACGCCCTTCAGTTGCACCTCAACATATCGTCTTTCTCGACAAAGTCTCTCGGTTATGTCGTGTTTGTCTAGCGTTTTTTTTTTATATTTGGAAGATTAGCGGAGTCGACAGTTTAGATCTACCGTGTCAAGTGAATTACAACGGAAAAACTCAGAAAGTTTAGAAAGTGTTTGCCAAGGTAGTCCGGGTTTAATAAAAGTTTGCGAAAACAGTTGAGACTTCTTAGAAATGAACGTAGGCTGCACACTAACAAAGCTGGCCGACAATTATCCCAAGAATAAGTGATCTAGTGCACTATGTCGGAACTTTGAAACGTTCTTTGAAATGAAAATGAGACCGATTCTTCAAATACTTGGGCCAATTTGGAAAAGCTTGCCGCAAGCGTAAAGTAATGAATTTTTCATCAATGAAGTAAAGCTTCTGACGCGGTTAGAGGGCTTTGAATAGCAAGATAGACCGCCATAACATCGGAATATAAATTAAATTGCTTTGAATGAGTTACGAAAAGGAGAATTACCCATTTTTGACACATAAAGCACCTTAAAGGAGCTATCTGAGAAAAAAAGAAATTATTTTTCAAATTTTTGTCCTGTTATCACAAGATTCACTCGAGATGTTCCTCAAACAAAAGTCGTAAGGCCTTAATGTACGTATCTGTAGGATCTTGATTCTTGTGCCACAATGAACAGTGCAACAATTTCTCGTCTCGATTAACTTTCTAGCCTTCAGCTCACTTACCCACCTCCAAGTCAGTCACTTGAAAATCAGAACATCATTTGGACACAAGAACTGCACTAATTCGTGTCGTTTGCTCGCCGAAGTTGTTATGTACAAAACAGTAAACGTATAAGCTTCATGCCTTCATTATACCATTGGTTTAAATGCCTCATGAAAGGAGTGTTTGCATGTTTTGCATGGCTTAATTACTAAATATTTTTCTTTTCAAACTTGCTACCCGTTTATGTGAAGAAATACAGACGTGATGGCTGTGGGAGTTTTTGACATAGATGTGGTCCTTTTTAATCCATCTTCGAAGTCTAGTGAAATAGAACTTTTTAATAAAAATTTTCATGAAATTTGCGTGGCTTGAAACATAGGCTCCGTCTGTATCGAAGAGACGGCATCAGAAATAGAAGTTCTGGTTGTACTCGCGTGTTTTCTGTCTCTTCTGTGTTTTATAATTGTCGGCTCAGGGGCGTATAATCTTATTATCAAGCTTGTAAGCATCAAATAAAATACACCTGTAGAAACAATATCTTTGGTTCCTCGCACAAGCGAATCACGACCGTATTAACATTCTTAAGCAGTTCTTTTGGCACCAGGCGAGTCGAAAAACCAAAATTTACTCCTAGTCTCCTTTCGCGAACCCAAAACATTAAGAAACATTATGGCAAGTTCGAACGATAAAGAAAAGGAAGGTGTATTTATTTTACAGACTGTCTTAAGACGAAATAAAGCGCTTAGTTTATCATTGCTTTAGCTCGCCCGGATTACTCTAACACAGACACAAGAGTGTTGGTTTGTTGTCTAAAAGTAAACAGCTAAACGGTAGTTGCGCAAACTTTGACTCGGCGGAGTTTGACATTCCGACAAACTACTACACCGTTAAATTGCTTTTGAAACGGGATACACATTTGATCTTCTTTAGAAGAATATGTCGTGAATCGCTAAATGGCAATGCTTTTAAGATAAACGAAAAAGCGGATTGTTTGGTCGGATTACAATATATTTTACTTTCACTTTAAATATGCAAGAACCGAAAAATCGATGAAGAGATGGTCGTTTTTTAAGGCTATGCAAGTGCATCTTGATGTTTCACGTAAAACATCTTCGCAAAACACCAGCTGTAAAAGGCACTAGGAAAAGGTCAAAACACCCCTTTGAATTTTGGTATTTCTTTAAAAACGGCGAAGGAAATATGTAGAGCAAACAAATTTCATAATCGATTTGTCATTGATTCAATATCCCCCTAACTGAAATTAAAGGAACGAATCATATTGTCCGTGCAGGGGAAAAGATGAAGTGTTTGACTGACTATATTATATTGATCATGATGTTTGTAAGGTGATTTTTATGCTGTAGACAGAGAGAGCGAAACCTGCTGAATTGTTATGTTTCTGTCTAAAAAATTTGTCTCAATTTTTTAGTCTTAACTAAAAATTTTTCTGAAAATTATTTAGTTTCCTGCGGGAAAGATAATTCAAATATCAGCCAAAGAGCTGAAAAATAAATGTAAGGTGAGAACATGTATTCGGTTGTACGTAAGAAACTAAAACTTTAAATTTCACGTATGAAATAGCTGGTGTAAAGCAGTTTAAAACGGGTTTTAGTAATTAAGTGATCCGTTTTTATCTCCCATGCGAAAACTGTGATCAGTTTAAACCCAGGGAACGTTTAAGGAAACGTTTGAATACGCCGCAAATCAACACACTAGAGTGAAATTGTTTAAAGTGACGTCTAGAACATGATTGCCCCGAACGGGAAATGACTGTTTTGCTTTGAAAATGTTTAGTTAAACTATTACACGGAAAAATAGGAGGTCTTCTCAGATCCCGAAACTCTTTCAAACGGATTAGAAATATGTCAGTTTGATCTCTCTGTTTACTCAGAAAAGTCTTCCTAAACGAAGGAGTTAATTTTTCTAAGAAAAAGTAGAAGAACACTCCATTTCCGAAGAAAACTCATAATCGAGTTCCTTGTACAGATGGCAAAACATTCAGATACCTTCGGCAAGCTTTTTATTGTTAAGGGAAACTCATTTGCCGACATAATTTCGCTTTTATTGCGGTAATCAAATCCGCAATTATATCTTCTTGGTGTCAATAGCAACAATTTTATTAAAGTTTTAATTTAATTAGTAGCATGAAAAAATAAAAGCGATCGCTTAATTTTCCCTCTAAGTACCCAACAACCGCGTACAGTATTTAGATTGAGGGGATATTGTTTCAGTAATAATTGTTAATATCCTTGCTGCAATCTCGGCGGTCGCTTTGTTGAAAGGCGCGCGTGTAGGAAAAATTTACATTAAGCCAAAGTGATTAAACTGAACTGTGTTGTGGACGCTCAGTTTCGCTGTGACACAGAACGTAACGCAATGGTTAAAAAGCGGGGAGATTAACGAATGTGTCATCTTCAAAACGAGAACAGATCCTGGTGGAAAATTTTCACGAATTGTATTTCATTCTTCGACATAGCGCGTATTCGTAAAGAACAGTCAAAATACCTAAATAAAAAAGGCCGCGTTAACCGGAAAGAGGATGCGAGAGATATTAGAAGAAGCAAGAAGAGGCGAAGGCTTTTTGATGCAAATTATGCAATAAACTAATCAGTGATTTAATTTGTTCTTTTCTTGTCGCTTCACAGACCACCGAAATGAGACCGAACCGCCATTTAGGAACAAAAGATCAGCAATGAATATTTTTCTCTGCCCCATATATTCAAAATGAACTACGCTGAATCGAAATTAACTCAATTAAGCAACAGAGCGCCGAGACCAGCTGCTTAGAATCGTGGATCGCACCTTGGACAATTGCATTTGAATTTTTCCTTTGTTCGCTCTAATGACGATCTACAAAGCTTTTAGTATTTTGGAGGCGTGAGCCCGAACGCAATACTGCGCTCCTCGCGCGCCGCAGCAAAATGACCCTACTGCTGCGCGGAGTTTACATATAAGGTAAATGCGTGTTTCTGGCTCGCTCTTGGTTGTCACTTAATTGACACTTTACTGCACGCAACCGGCAAAGTCATCAAGCGACAGCAAACAGGATTTGCTGACCACTGTAAACTGACCACGAGTTGTATGCGGACGAAATTTGAAGTTATACGCCGTGTTATTTTTGAATTTTTTTCAGCTACTTGGGGCATCTCAAGCTCAACGTTTGCTGTTTTACAGAGAGAATTCCATTAATTGTTATCTTAAGCTGCCAGGTTCTTCAAGAAGGAAATTCAGCTTACTCCTTCTCTACAGGAAAAGGTTTGTGTAATACGCTCGAATAGTTTCTTAAACGTTCCTTCAGTTAAATTGGAATTAACCATTTTAAGAATCGCGTGTCTTAACAAGAGACAATGAATAATTATGATGGATTTATTCCCTATACGACTCTAACGCAATGTTATTGAGATTGTTGTTTAGCTTGGCTAAAAGCACTCGTTCGTCGCTTAAATGGTGTTGAGATAGAGAATATTGATTCAAATATCGTCGCTGAAGGGCTTTTTTATTATTATTCGAGAGCAGACATACACTAATATTGAGCCATGCTGAAAAATTGACTGATTTTTACAGTAAGAAGTGCGATGTTCAGTTTGCATGATGCAATGAAAGTGTCAAATCGGCAGCATCGAATCTGTGTAGATAATTGCTTATTTACAGAGACTTAAACTGCTATTCAATTAATTGATAGTAAATGTCAGAGGTAAATCCAGTATTTGGAAGGCTTCAATTTTAGCAGAGTTTGTGTTTGTACAAGAACAGCGCGACACAATCGCGTCAATAGCTCCAACTCAAACCATCCAACAGCGCAGAGTCAATTCAGTATTCTACAGAAATAGCTCTGTAGGTACTGAGCTAAGTTGTCAAATCACTCGCTCTATTAAATTAGTGTTTTGATAAGCTTCAATGCCTTGCAATCGCACAAACATTTTTGGGAACAAAATCCAACACCTTAATGCATTGAAACTGCTAATAGGATCGACAACGGGCATTAGATTTACTGAATCACGACAAAGACTCGTGGTCATTACATCGATCTTCCAATGTGACAACATAACTTTGTCCCAATCGAGATACCACCACGGAAAATTCGTCAAAATCACTTCCCATCCATCAAAGCTACTGCTCTGCTTTACGTCCCCAGAGATTTCTATATTGCCTCTATCGTTAAGATTCGTGATTAGAAACGCGGAGAAGAGTGTAGAAATATTTTTTTACCCTCCTCTCCCGTTGATTTGACTACTGGATTGCTGTATTCTTTTGAATCATCCTCCAAGGAGAGTTAACAGGAAGCCGGAAACCTTCATGCTGCTGGTCGAGTTTCAAAACACGAGGCTTGTTCATTCCGGTCACAATCTATTCTCGTTTACTAAAATTTCACCAATCTATCAAAGCGATAACTATCGAAATATTTTAACGGCGACAAATAAAAAGATGGAAAGAACATCGAAAAAAAAACACGACGTTTAGTTTGCTGGTGCGTGGTAGGATAGCGAATACACGCTCTTGGGGAGGATGTTGTTGTGTTCATCTGCGGTGCACCAAGACAACGAATTGGGTCCATGCGTGTTTTCCTTTAGACACAGCACGGGTGGGAGTCCAAACCGCTTTTCCGTTCCCTCTTCAATTTGATTTTTCCTGTGGGATTCGTGTAGTGCGTGAAGCATTTTAAGTTAGCTTCAGTGTAAATAGCAGATAGTTTAACATAATTTTGCTCTTTGAGCAAATTTACAGTTTATATCTTAACTTCAGCCGCCAAATCTCGCAACGGTTTCGTGGAACACAGTTAATAATTTTGTTTCATGGGAATAACTAAGGGAGCATAGAATAGTTTATTCAACTTCTCTTAGAACTACAGATGGCAAATGTCTTCGTTGGACTTGTCGTTTCACAGACAGGTACTAAAACATCTTGGTATTGTCTGACTCGAGTTACGCAAATACATTCCATCAGTTTTAAAACCATTGCAAAATTTGCTAGTGCTTTATCTAGTGCTTTTCCTTTTAGCCCGCGATTCAGAGAAGTTCGAAAGAGACATTTAATAGCCGCCTATTCCACCATCGCTATTGCTGGCTGCTTCCCCCTCGCCTGCCTAGTGTCAAGTGGACTGTGAAAGCACTCTGACAATGTTGTAGATAGATTTCATTTGTGACACGGAATATAGAAACCTAAGTAATTTACTGTCGTAAATTCTTATTCTCAGGGATTCTTTTTCCATTTGTCAGTTATGTTGGGATTTTTTTCAATTAGTAGACAGTTAGATAGATAAATGGGCTTACAAGGTACTTCCTTCATCAACGAGTTGGGAATTTCTAACTTTCGGGACAACAAAGTCTGTCAGTGTAGAAATCTGAAAATGGAAATGGTAAACAGACAGATTATTATTACTCAAAATGAATGGACTTGACTTTACTCTCTCGATATCGTGACGAAAGGTACGAAATCGTGCCAATTAAAATCCTCGTATTTTCCGCGCTTCAACAGAAATCATTTATCATTACTAATGGTGGGCGTTATAATGAATTAACCTTTGGTGCGACGAAGACACAATCTGCATCTATTTTATTTTATTGTATTTTAAATCTCTGACTAACTGCGTTAGATACTCACTGCTTTGTTTTCAAAATGATGCACGGAGAATTAGGGAAAGAAACCTATTCTTTTAGGTGTAAAAACAATGTTTCCTCTGAACAACCAAAATAGTCATTTTGTATTAATTTCTTTACTAGCTAAGGCTCCAACGAAGGAACCAATCTCAAAATTAAATGGCCCGACACCCACTTTAAGTTTGGGGTAAATTAATCTCCTTGTTAGACAAGTTTTTTCCACTTTATTTTGACACAGTTTAATGAGAAAGCAGAAGAATATCTTTTAAATAGAAATGAGACTGTATCTCAAAAGAGCGAGGATACTCTTTAAACTGGAGGACTCATTTTGAATGCCATAATTTGGTTAGATCAGGTAGTTTTACCTTAGCTGATTTTGTTGCCCAAATCAAGTTTTATCAATCTCTCGATGAGTTTGTGAAGTTTCTTCGGAAGAGACGTACTCAGGCTTAATTTTCTTATCTGAGGCATAGACTTTAATCGAGAGGAGGCCACCTTGTTTGCAAACGTTGATGGAAATCGATTCTTCTTGACTCCGTGACTTTGGTTTCGAGATGAATGTGTGGCTGATTTAGAGCAGCCTCAGGAAACCACATTAAGAGATTAGATAGAAGTTGTTATGGGACTTCCTTTACGAAGAACTTGAAAGGTTGCATTGAGATAAAATTCGTCTTCGGTAACGCCCTGTAAAAGCACAGCACTAGGAAACTTTATGAGCTATCTTTATGTTTATCCTCCCCCTTCAAAGCAGCTTCAACAATTTCAAGGATTCGCAAATTCCAATTTGAAATTCGCAGAAAAATCGTTCGCCAATGCTCTTTAGAAATAGAAGAACTTGACGGATAATTTTTTTGGCTTGAGAATGTTTGTGGGAGTGTCAAATATTTTAGGAGACAGGTGGTGATTGTTGGAGAATGTTTTTAGCCAAAGCTTCGTGAAGTTTGCAAAGTTAATTTAACACTTACGTAACGTGTTTTTCAAGCTTGATTTACTGAGATGGTTGTGCAATAACGACTGTTAAGAGAGTAATGAAGTTGCTTTTGAACTCAATTAATTCACAGTAGTTTCAATACATCCCAGGATAATGTTATTATGGGTCCGTGGGAGCTAAAATATATCTTGCGGTTGTGTCCCTTTTTAACGAAGATCGATAGCTTCAAAACCGCAGACACAAAACAAGCCAATTTTTGTCTTCTCAAACAGATACAAGCTTTGCATGGTGACCTTTGTAAATCAGAGACCTTGATAATCTCACCACACAAGTTACATATATCCCTTATCTCCATGAAGATCGTCTCCTAAAACAAAGCATTCACACCTGACTTAAGAACTTAAAAGGACACGGAAAGCGAAGTTGAAATGCCGCTTCATTCTTGTATCCATTTTGACGGTAATTCTTCATGTCTGTGGAAGTATACAGAATTTTATTGCATAAACTTGTGGCAATGACATAACATTTCTTGCAGGTCTGAAAACTAAAACGTACATCATTGGAAACAAAATCCATTCCGAGCCGGGAAGTTTCATAAGGCGCTTCTACCCAGCAAATATTTCAAAAGTATTTTCTGTAAACTGGAGGATCGTATTTACATTCTATTTGCGGCGACACTTTTGTCAGTTATTTTAGTACTGATAATTACTGCATTTTCTTCAACAGGCGTTACCGCAGCTAATTTTAAATTTACCTCTTACCAAGGCTTTTAAATGTTGTAGCAAACTAAGAACCAATTACGTATACGGTATACTTGTTCAATTATCTTTAAACGTTTTATTCAAGGTAGAATGGCGTACATGTATACAACACGCGAATAAAGTGGTGAAAGACTTCTGTCAATATATATAAAAATATATAAAAACTCTTCCTTATTGAGGTTAAAAAAGGCTCCAGCCGTGTATAAATATCGCAATTTCCTCGAGTGTCAATTTAAACAGAAAGAAGAGAGTAGTTTTTGTTCCATTATGGGTACACATGTAAAAAACGGCTTACTTTTTCATCTCTTCATCATAAGATTTATTTGCCACTTGCGTGATATTCTTCGTGCACATTTGATGGCGCAAACTTCTCTTACGTGCGTTGATTCCGTGTCACAATATAATTGTGTTGTTTAGATACGCAGTGTCTCAGCGCCTATATTTCCATTCAATAAAATTGCCTTAAACAAGCCTATTTTGGGGAGAATTCAGACAGTTGTTCTTGCTGACTTGGTGCATCTTACATAGATTTTACGATGCTTCTGGTAACTTGCTTTTCTCTGTGAAATTTTTTAAGAAGGAAGGTAACCCTTTCTTTGGCATTTCCTTTTCTTCTGACGGATTTAAAATAGTGCAATATTACCGTCGAAAATTAAACAAGAAGTTACCTGCGGGTTAATTGCGTATCAGGAAACAGTTTGCGTGCTTTTGTAATAAGGACACGACAGCGTAAAAGGTAGGAGACGTGAAATATCGTGTCGCAGTAGAACACTTAAGAGTTTGTGAGAGTACAGTACCTTATGTGAAGCCGACCTTGACAAGGATACAGGTAAGAAGAACATGTCTGACCTGAACTCGATAAACACTGAAGGCATTTGGGTGAAACAATGATTTGCGAATGCGAAGAGAAAGTTGCAAGCAAAGATGTTATTTTTTGTCAAGATCGTGAGACAAAGAAGACATTAGAGTCCCTCAAACTTTTATTTACTTTTGCAATTTCTTTGTCATTTTAAATCACAACAGGCAAAGATCATTTCGAAAGGATACAGTCCAAATAATAATTTGTGTATGATGTCATGCGAATCTTTCTAACATGCAATTCTGAACGAAGCTTTTAAAAATTGAAAATACACGAAGCTGAAACTTTATTGTTTAAGCATCAAAGTCATGAGAACTTTGATGTTATTATTACAGTTGACCACTCTGACAAAAGGGCGATTTTCCGAAAAAAAACCCAAAACTCTTAAAACCCAAATTGAGGCGGAAATGAGACCATGTAGATAAAGGAAAGTTTCAATGGACTTTACGAACTTTATCCTACAGATAAAAGATTTCAATGTTAATGGAAATGTAGACATAATAATCCTAGAAAATTTAATCCTAATTCACAAAGCAAATGCAAAACCAACCAGAAAGAATACACCTTGTAAGAGCGAAGATTAAATTGGCAAAAATTTCTATGTATCGACGGTGATCTATTCTGATTTCTGCAAAGATTCACTTTTTGATCTGCAGCGGCCCGTTTCGTGAAATATTTCAAACACAAATGTACAGCATCTATCAACTTTGAATGACAGTTCTGTCCCTTGATGAAGGAATGATGATAGCAATATATCAAGAAAGACAAAAATTGTGTCAAAACATGAGCAAAGGAAGAATTCACGTAGGGCTTTGTCTGCTCGCAGTCACCTTTAAATCGTCTACGATATTCATTTTCAATCCTAAATATGCGTCAAGAATAAATTTGATTTACTCAAGAGAGGTGAATTTTTGGACGATTTATGAAGCTTGATAGAAGATTGGGAAGGAGAAATTCATACACGAAAGAAAAACACAAAATACCGCTAAATAAATGTGGTAGAAACATTGAATATTCGAAAGCCACAATCAGGCATGGCAGTTATGCCCGATGACAGTAGTAATTTGCTTATTGCTCTAAATGAAACGAAGTCCGCCCCCCCAATTAGTTGATTGAAAACACGACTTTTGCGGTATAGGTTACAGAGCATGTTTGGGCCGTTCAGGGCCGTTACTACATATCTGTCACCGATCAACCCCTATAATCATTCACATCCAAAAGAACCAAACAACTGGGAGAGGAAAACTTAACTTTACACCCTAAGCTTAACACGTATCTTATAAATCACTATGTGACTCAGTTCGACAGCACTTAAACACCCTGACCGCGGAGATAGACAACACCAGATATTGGCCTTTAGTGTATAAATCAATGTCACCTGGTTGCCGTGATAAGATCCATGTCTGCTCGCTTACTGCTCATCAGGGTCGACGTCGATATATAGCAGATGAAGCAAGACCCATACCACACACATAGACCGAACAATAACTATTGAATACAACATATATTTTCAAAGGACACCATTGTCCTCGTAAATACAAAAACTCACATCGAAGCGAAATGTTCATAGTTGAGTGAGCACTCACAAAAACAACGGAACCAGACGTAAATTTATTTTGATGCTATCGGGGCTCCGTATCACATGGGCGTGTTGATTATTTGACTCCCAGTAATTCAAGGCTATATATACTTTGAATAGAAACAGGGGCCACGTAATTGAATGCATTCCTTTGTACAGTGACTCCTGACAGCTACTCTCAGTTGGTGGTAACAGTGTTATAGACCAGAACATAAATGGCAGTAATTTTATAACCACAAGCGTTGTCTGTTTTTTTCTCTTCTCAGTGGATTGCGGATTGTGACAAAATGGCGGGCTATTTCGGTCATGTCGGAGGACATGTGCCTCCGTATTCGGTGGGAAGCCACGGATTGAGTCATCCTGCACCGAACATCGATTTCTTCAGCCAAATGGCTCCTCCACCGTGTGGTAAGTTCTTTTCTAAATACACAATAAAGCCAATTACAGGCTCTATAGTTTCATAAATGGAGGGCAAGCCAAGGGTTGCCGCTTTTAATTTGAGCTTCCTAACCGGCTATTTATCCTTGTAACGTAACAAAGTCTTGTGCTGTAGATCAGTCTATGCGCTAGACTCCATGTTCCCAAACAATCTTAAACAAAACAACAGCGGATTGCTAATAAAAAAGGTAGGCTGCCATCGTGTGAAGGTCATGAGATCGACTTGTTTGCTGTTAATACAGCACATTTGCAATCTTCACTTTTGTAAAAGGCGCGTTGAAATCTTCTAGTTTGTAAATTAAGAACATCTTCTCAGACCAGTCCGAAAATATGAAAAACTATATAATTTGAGCTTGCTTTGTATTTGCGTAGTACGAGGCCGGCCATTTGCTCGCTTCGGTGAAGAGCACTTGATGCTTGTACGTAGGCATGTTGAAGCATGATTGCTTGTGTTGAAGTTAGCTTTTCAACCTCACGGCATTATCGTAAAATGCAGTCATATTTCAAATAAAAACAATGATTTCTATGTAAAGATTTCCCTTAAAAGTGTTGTTTAAACAGTGCATGTTTTGTTAAATAATTACACATCGTTAAAGGCTTAATAAATCATCATCCCCTTTTAGCAGTACTGTGGTGTGAAATCTGTCATGAACCTTCAAGATGACAGAATTTAACCAGAATACAGGAAAAACTTTTCACTTTATTGGGCAGTTTTTATTTGAACTTGGAACAAAGCCTCGTTTGAGAAGAAAGCCATAACATCCGATTGCATAGAATCTGTTGAGATAACTTTATGAAACGTTCGTTTGCGGTTTCTCTGAGGTTTCGACGCGGTGCTGCTTGTGTTATGCATCTCTCGATAGCAAGACTCACAGTTGTGTTCTTTTCAGCTTTAAAAGCTCTTCCCTAATCTACCGCTATAAGCAAGTTAATGGAGAGTTTAAGAAAAGACTACAGAACTCCAGGATACCCCAAGAAGATCCTGCCTTGTCAGTGTGCCTTTATTTTAAAAACATGTCTTTCTTCGAAGTTGTTTTCAACTGTCAACCCACGCTAGTTAGTCTCTGACCACTTATTCTGAGATGATATACAGATAAAACTAAATTAGAAATAGTAGACAAAATATCCTACTTTTTCCCTCTAAAATAGTAGCACAACAGTCGACACAATTCTTTCGCTTCAGAATTTCTTCGTTTTCTCGATTCTTGATATCAAATTAGGAAAGATCCATAGGCATCCATCTTGTGGCCAATGTATACACTCTAGGTAAAACGGAATAACACAATAACCTAGGTTAGTAAATGTTTGCCAACGGTGGATCGATATAATTTAACTTCATGAGTCATATTTTGCATTACGGTGGTAGTTTTGATAATTATAGTTATGACTGTTACCCTATACTGTTAACTCTCGTTTTCGATCAAAAATCAATAATTTGTGCAAGGCAAATTGGAATTCACTGACTTTCGCAGCCTCGTTCAGTAAATCGGTTATTTTGTTTCTTTGAGTGTTCCCCTGAAATTTGAAAGCTTACCACCAATTATTTAGCCAATTTATTTTGTTTTCGATTAAAGTTTTAAATTTTCTCCAGGTGAGCGCTTTCCTTGGTAAAAAAACTTGGCTCACATTGAATTCTTCTGACTTGGAAATGAAAGCACGAGGATTCGAGTAAATCAATCAAGCTTTTTATTTATTCACAATGGCCGTTACACTGAAGAATGAGTATTCGAGTAAATTAAGCTTGTTTAGTATTTCGAAATGCCATTGTTAATAAGAGATGGTGATAAATTTTATTAGGAAATGGAAGTGTGAAGTGGAAGCAAAAATAAGATTTTCCCTCAGGTGGAGCTAGGGCCACGATAATTTTTGTCCCGCGTTGAACTGAAGAAGAATAACACAATTTGTCGGCAAAGTCAATCTCAACTTCGAAATATTTATTCAGCTACACTTACATACATTTTTGGGAATCTAAGAAATAGGAAAATTTGAGTTTTTCTGTGTAAAAGTGGACGTGAAATGGGCAACTTCTGAACTAAATTGTCGTCAAAATGGTTTAATATCATGAGGTGCTCGAGCTTCTTTTGAATATCGCGAAACTCTTTGAAGTTGAAAGGTGGGCGTTCGCTCACGTAAACTTAACGATTAATTAAATTCGCCTTGGCAATTTCTCAGAGAGAAATGCGTACTTGAGCCGAGTAGTTGGCAAATTATTACGCAAACTGGGGCGAGGTCGTGTTATTAAGACGTTCCCTGTTTATTCGTCTCGAATGGTAACTGTGGGATTTGTTTAATTGGTTCTGCACATTCTTTCGCTTTTTATCTCCTTATTTCCCTTCACAACACACAAACAACAAGTTAAGACTTTTAACGAGCTGTAATTCCGTGGCTAAACTCTTTCGTTTTCCATGCAAATATTCCTTCACCTTGGTTTTTCTCCATATGAATCGCCAGGGGCGGTATTCGTGGTGGTGTTATTGGTATGTTCCCTAAATCTTTTACGTGCTTAAGTGCGAAACAAGAGTCAAGAGCATTAGAAAGGGACTGCACGCAATGATAGAAGTAACCATTGTGTTCTGTTAACCGTATTACAAGTAAATAATGACAAGCAAAAGTATGTAAACTGAAATAGGTTTACAGATACTTATGATTTCATTTTAGGAAAGTTTAAACAGAGTCATTTGAAATAGAATACTTCTAATACTTTGTTGTTTTCATTTGAATTAACTCTCATCTGTTGTTGTTTTGCTCTGATACACTACTCTATCAAGTTTTTATTCTTCTTTTGGTTTTTAAAGAGAAAACTCGTTGTAATTAACTGATCCATTTGATTACCATTTTGACAAAGACTCTTCTTCGTTGTTGTAAGTTTTCGTAAACGTACAATATTGGTCGTGTCATGGTTTGGTTTCACAGTTTATCAAACCCCTCTGATAGAGTTATTAAGCTATTGATCAAGGTGACTTCATTTCCTCTTTTCTATGGTTAGCAAAACATGTATTGTTTGTCAACTTAGCATGCCTTCGCTGCAGTTGATCTTATTTTTCACAAACACAACTTCTTCTGAGTCCTTTTTGGACAAACAGAGAATCTGTGGTTTATAACGTACAAAGCAGAGCGCCTCTGGTGACATAAACGTCTCACTCTCGTGAAAGACGAAAATTGATACGGACCATGGCCATTCATACTTGTTAAATTTTTTCCTCGGAGTTTCTCGCTTCTCACAACCATGGATTTAAAGTTCGGCAGAAGTAAGAATCATAAATCTGGTTGTAAAACTTACATTAAACATTCTAGAACGCCGACTTCTGTCATCATAAAATTCCACATGTTTGTTCAGCGTCAGCGAAACAGTAGGCACAGGATACGTTTGTAAACAATGGCTGACCACTGTTGCCCACAATATTCCGCGTAGGCATGCGCAGCAGGAGGAATGCTTCAGGTTTGGGTCGTGCGCATGACTGAATAATTCATTTATTGCGTGAAGCGTCGCACTAAGACACAGTAGGCAGCATCTCAGTGACACACAACGCTCTTTGTTGATATTGTATCATCTATTTTTAGTAGAAGCTCGCAACAGCAAAAGTGAAAATAAAAAGGCACTTACATCATTTTCGCTTCAGTGAAGAAGTCACACATTAGTTAGGAAATTCATGCAGTTTGAGAAATACCATTTTCATTCAGATCCGTACTCGAAATCCAAAGGCATACTCTATGCAACGGCAGGAACAGATAGAGACGAAACGCTTGCCTGACTTAAGGCAGTATTTTAGATCTTGATTTGCTTGCTAAGTAATACTTTGTTGCAGAAAAAACTGATCTACCACTGATTGTCACCAGGAGCTCATTAATGTTGTCTTTGAATTTATCGAGCTGTGTGCGGTGTAGATATATCTGGTCGCGAAAACCGAATAATAATAAGTTAAAGCAAGAAGTTATCGTATGCAACAGTAACAGCACCAAAAACAATGGGACTAGACGGCTGAAAGAATGAACGGCTTTTTCTTTTCACTCCTCACTGAAATAGTGTCAATATTTAAGAAAGACCAGATTGTCGCATAAAAAATAACATTGAAGGCTTGACCATTAAAAATACTGTATATGGAAATATCTTTTCAAACTGGGTAAGCTTCATTCCTCCTACAGTCACTGCGTCAAAAAACATCAACTTATCGAGATGAAAAATGGGGCATCGCGGTAATGTCATAAAAGCTGCTCAGTCCACACTAAATGTTGAATAAAGTGTGCTAAAATTCATTTTGCACATGCAGGGTGCTAATTAAGGGTTTACTCGATGCAACGAGTGGAAGCTTAGAATTAATCCTGTGCAAAAGTCAAAGTTTCAGTTTCCTGTCAACAGCGTTTAACATTGTAAAGCTGTGATAAGTAAAAATATCCATTGGTGCAAATTGAGAAGCTGTGAGAAAGACATCCTAGCTGGTGTCCTTGAATTTTTGTAATTTCCAAGTATAGTGGTTAATTTGATTATGCAGCAAAATAATGCCTCTTGTATTCATCTGACATAACCTCCTAATCCTTTCGCAAAAATGTGTGAATTCTTTGCCATTGCTAGCGTACTCCATTACCATTCTATTTGTGGGAGGTTTGTCGCTACCACGGATTATTTCCCCTTTACTGATAATGTTGTATGTTCTCATAACATGTTTATTTAAAACAGTTTGATTTTGGAAGGAGAATTTACGTAATGTTGTTTTTGTTTCTCTCATACAGCGCACCCGAGAAAACAGCGTCGAGAGAGAACGACTTTCACCAAGGCCCAACTGGAAATCCTAGAAGAGTTATTTAGCAAAACAAAATATCCCGACATTTTCATGAGGGAAGAAGTCGCAATGAAAATAAGCCTTCCAGAAAGCAGAGTGCAGGTATTTTGTTTTCCCTTTATTCATATATTTTTCCATGAGCAAAAGGTAGAGATGTAAGGGAAGAGTGGCATGTAAATTTAGAAATACCCTCCGTTTAGTTAGCGCAAGTGACAGTAATTTCCACGCCCTAATCTCCCAAGATAGCCTTTTTGGGGGATTGGAGTGGAGAGACCGCTGACAAGCTGACACCTGGGTCCCGCCCTAGTAATAAACACATCTGTAAATTACTCTTTGTATGCCCTGCAGATGTACAGACAACTGAAAATTGAGGGATGTATTAGAGTTGCGTATTTTGTAGAGGTCTTACGATTATTCAGTGTATCAAATTCAAGATTATCAGTACGTATTTGCTTCAAACACAGATACAGGAAGGAAACATTCACAGTGGCTACATTTAGCTCCCGACATTGTGTGTAATTTTTTAATTTACCGTAATAATTTGCATGCGGCTTCTAGTCAAAGCATGTTTTCAGTATGACGTATTTCAACTCTCAAAATGTTTCCTTCATAAAAAAAAATAACAACAACGAAAAGAACTCCATTTCTGTTTACATTTACGGTATTTGAATGAGAGACTATATTGATAGAGCATCAGCATTGATCACTTCTTGTTTGGAAGAATGGAATCCATCTCAAGCTGGATATTTTTCTTTTACCCATTTTACAATATCAGCCATGATGTGGTGAAATATTGGCCTCACTGGTATATTTCAGCGAATACAAGACATTAATTTCTTCTATATTTGCTCATCAGCGTGCTTTTTAAATAAAATCTAAAATCACGAGAAGAAAATTTCTATCAGTTTGTGTCAGGGACTGGGTATGTAAAGCTGGTTGTAAAGTTAATTCACATTTCATGAAAATAATGATCCTTTCGAATCACGGATACAGAGAAGGAGAAGCGTATCATGTCTTTTCTTTTCTTGTTGTCAAAGCTGGCTACCCTTCCAGACTTTGACATGTTAAAAATCACCGTTTAACATTTTAAGGTTATTTTAGTGACTGCATACCTCAACACTCAATAATATAATAACACGAGGCAAAAGAGACTATAAAAGTTTTAATATAGAACGATTAAACAATAGGTAAGAGAAGGTAATTATACATAGTGACTAGTTGTTAACTAATCATTCTGCGAGTTCTTGAAATTCCATAAGATGGTAGAAGCAATCTTTTACGTTTTTTATGTTTTTTTATAGCTTTTATGAATGTTTCATGATAATCTAGCTATAATGGAGGGTCAATTTCATCTCTGATGTTTCTCAAGGCCGTAAATATTAGTTCTTCTCGCACACTAGCCCGTGTATTTTTAAACTGTCCACCGTCAAAATTTACGGTACTTTGGGGCATGGGAAATTTTACTTGTTTACCACAAAAGGAGCCGACGATTCAAATTTCATTTATTCAAGGTATCTTTGGGTGTTGCTTTTACAACGTACCTCTGTATATATTCGATATGTTTCATTGAGTTTCCAGGCGTACAAAAGACACTGGTTCATATTGATTGTCGTGAGTTAATAACGAAGATAATTCCTCTACACGTCTTCCTTATCATCAAAAAACGGCTTTAGATAGTTTTTGACCCGTTGTCATTGCCTCTTTATAGTATCAAAGAAAAAAATTACGTAGAGTAACATGACATTTTGGTTAAAAAAATGACAAACGCTACATTTTTTCCATAGTTACATCGTTTTATTTTTTTTGAAGGTATGCCTTTTCTACCAGTTTATGTAACCATTTTTTTTTTTTTTTTCTGCGAGGTTGCTCCAGGATGCCATCATGATTCGTCACTATATATTTAGCTAACAGTCTTAAAATAGATCTCTCTTTGTGTTTGCCTCTCCAGGGGCTCAAAACAAAAAAAGACAACACCCTAACCTTGGTTTTTGATGCATTTATAAAGTCGATCTCAGGAAATACCATTCCGTAATTCCTCATAAAACAAATGGGCAAAGGAAACACAACATTAAAATTTAAAGTGGCAATGTGGTTTCGAAGATATATACCTGCTCTGAATAGCCGACACACAAAGGAACACTTGTTATTTTTTTGCTTTTTGCTTCAAGTAATAGAAGTAGAGAATTGATCTTAAGCTGCTAAATTAGCTTAACGGAGACAAAAGAGGCAATATGTTTCCGAAGATATGTAGTTGTGCTTGATGCTTGATATCGTACAAACAAAGGAATACTTTTGATTTTTTTTTCGTATGTCATAGAAGAATGGAAATTGATCTTAGTCCTCTAAATTAGCTTAAAGGAACAAGAAGTTTTTTATCAATTGTGATCTAACAGCGAGGATTACTTTCAACAAAGACTTTTGGCGATAAAAACTGTCTGGCCTTAACAGTCACGGAATTTCAAGTCACGAATTCGGGTTAAATTTTCCGGGATAAAATGTCTTGAGAGATTTCTGATGATAAAACAATACCAACATCGTTGGATGTATCAGTAATTGTTGAATGCATTATAAAACACTAGTTTTCTCAAACTTTATCCTAAAATATTTCTTATATTGTATATCTTTTCATTTCCTTGAATGAAGAAGGTTTAGAATTTGAAAGTCGTGATATGATACAGGAATGTTTTACATACGAAGACGAGCTGTCGTTGCTAACAGTAATATCAGAAAAATTGGGTTATAGTTGGTCTTTGAGTTGGATGTGTTCTTAGCGATCACTTTGTGAGGGCTGGATGCTTTGCTGTCTCAAAAAATGTTAACAATAAGCTGTTCTTTCATTTATCGCTGTTAATTGTGATACTTGGGGAGATACTAACTGTTAGACTCTGCGTGAATTTAGAGTGTGACCATTCTAATGAAAGCAAAAGAGAATTTCTTCCTTGTGTGATGGTTTTCTTGTATAGAGGGCTAGTTTCGCCTCTGATCCTTAAAGCTTTTCATATACACTTTTTGGCAAACAAATGACGAGAAGAGACAAGATCATTAGCTTGAGACTCAAAACCAAATTCTCCCAACTAATCTAAGAGAAAAATTGAAGCAGCTGGAATGGAGCGCGCTTTTCGAGGACAACGGAAGCAGTAACACACAATTTTCACTTAGGGACTCGTTGCTCCTCGCCAGACAAAAATATTTTTTAAAACCCTTAATCCCAGTTGTGGGGTAAATCCCGTATCACCGGTCTGGATAATCCACAAAGGAACGAAGACATATTCCAGCGAAAATGCGATCAGGATATCAGTGATAGAGCGAAAGATAAGGCATGTTGACAGGTACCAACCTTGGCAGCCTGGGTACGAGGTTAAACAGGTGTAAGATCTGGATAAGCACTCGGAGATTCCACTTTGATTTTTGTTTTTCACCTTTTATGAGAGAAAAGTTATTCACCGCAAGAATTTGCCGTGGTTACCCAACAGGATATCTTGTATTGGTTAATTACGGCTAAAAATAAAACTGTCTTATTTGTGCATCAGCAACTGAGGTGCAGTCAGAGATATGCCACACAATTGAAAATACATTCAAACATAATGGTTGAGCCAACTCGTTATCCCTGCCTGACTCATTAGTCGACAGCGTACAAATGATACCTTTTTTTGTCTTTTGATTCTTTAAACTTTACATTAGGTTTGGTTCTTTTTTGTTCATCGCGTATTATTCGTATCTCCAATTTTTCGGGAAAGCGGATTTCAGCCTTTTCTCTTACCATGCTTTGGCCATAGACCTCTTGGAGAAGGCGACAAATTTCACTTACACCACACCAAAGGTAACCGTGCTACCCTAACCCATACCAGTATCGTTATGCGAGAGAAAAGACTAGTAGTGAAAATTCTTTTACTACAATGGGCTTTATCGCAACAACTGGAGACATTTTCAAAATGACAGAGAACCTTGAATTTAATAAAATTATGAAATGACGTTACTAAGATAACCAAACATGAAAAGAGTAAGATGACACCAAAAAGGACCAAGCATGCATCAAAATTACAAAGATTTACCCCCTTTACTCTCCATTACTAATCACATTCTCTACACTGGCATCTTAACATTTCCTACGTTACCAGCAAGGAGAATTTGATCGATAATCTGGAGCTTTTTGAATTGGTGATCATTTTCTTTATTCTTATGACCCTAATATTTGGTTCAAGGGTGATTTTGTAAGGAGAAATTGGAAGCCAGTCACTCTTTAGGGAAACATATTAAACAAGGATTTTAGATGAACTGAATAATAAAAGGTCAAATTGCGACGTGCTTCTGCATTAGCTGAGATCAATATGTATTTTCTCCTTAGCATTTTAATACGTTATTTACAAGAGTATTTATGAGAATTACTTTGCTTGTTGGCTTTAAGGTATTATTGTAGTAGGACACTTCTTACTGTTAACTGGTATGGTAAGTTAACTGGATAGGTTTGAAGTAGATAGTGGGGGTTAAATCGTAACCCAAAGCAAAATGTTTTCGAACTGTAAGCATTGTGATCAAACTCAGTGTACTAATTGCACTTTTCACCGATTTAGGTTTGGTTCAAAAACAGAAGAGCGAAATGTCGCCAACTGGACAAAGCTGCGGAAAATAAACGAAAACTCGAGAAGAAATCACCTCCAGGAACAATTCCGACGTCCAAAATTGAACAAAAGAAATCAAGTCCTTCTCCATACCAGCTCCCCAGCTGCAGCGCAAATATAAATAACATGTGGAATGGGCCAGCATCTACCCCGCTAACACACAGTCAAAATTACCCCACCCCTCCTGTGTTAACAAACAATTCCGGTCCGGTGTTTATGCCTCCCCCACACCCTCCTCCTGCACCGGCCCCCCCGCCATATTATCGTCCGAACTCTGACTGTTCATACATGTCGGCGTCACCTTACATGCATATGAATAGACCAGGCGAGCAAGCGTACCCACCGACTCATATGTAACAACTGTTCAACAACTGTTAGATTTTCGCGAAACAGTGGTGAACATGATTCGTCTGCGCCAATGGAATATCCAGAATAGAGTATCGCACGAAGATTGCCGAAGGTATCCGAATATTTCAAGGAGTACGGAAGAGAGCACGCTGAATGAAGTTCACGGGAATCGGCTGAATCCTCGAAGGCAATTTTTTTCAAGAAAAAAACTAAGCAGAATGTTGTACATACGATTTAAAGAACACAGCTTTTGCACTAGCCGCAGTGTATATTAGCTAGCATAAATTTCACATTTAGAGGTTTTTAAACACGTTTATTTCTATTGAAGACTGAAATGGTCATCTCGGAGACAAGAAATGGTTGGCGACGCCCCCCCTCCCCCCTTCCGTTTCTTCAATGAGCAACAAGTCTTCACTTTTTAGTTTTGAGTCATCTTTGTTATCTTTTGCTTCGTGTAAGCGATGCTTTTCTCCAATTCAGTTTACGACGCTTGTTACATTTTTAGCAATCAAAAGGTAGATACATTTAAGATCAATACAAAAGGAAAACTTAAAGCTCTTTAAGATTTCTTTTCTCGTCTACACATTCACCAATCATTCGGTAATCATTAGAGGTTCTGAGAAGTTTTTTTTTTGAGGGGGGGAGCACTTCCTTATTTGGCCAGAAAGGGTGTGTGCCATGTGTCACTAAACAGGTGTGATTTCGGAGTTTAAAGTCTTTTAGGGAGTACACTATTGTACAATTTAGCTTCATCAGTGTTTCATCGGTACCAATTCCCCTTCTCCCCAGCCATTAAAATTGCTCAGGGGTAATGGAGTAACTCGTACCCAGTTCGTTACATATTATATTGGCCACTGCAGGACTGAGAGGGGATTCGAGAGAGATTTTAAAAAACAACGAGTGCTTGCTACTGAAAGTGTAAACACATTCTTAAACTACGATGTGGTTGAGATCCCAGTTTTTCGTGACGCCCAATAGGGTCGGTCGAACATCAGTTGGGTTCAGAACAAACCAGGATGTTTGATGGTGCCACAACTGTCGTTCAATAAAAGCGTTAGGACATGAAAGTTAACGTTCAGAAGAAGTTCAAGCAACATCTAATACCATCGAACAACCTTGAACCCTCCTCCTTTCCTATCCTCTCTAAATGCAAAACAGTTGCAGCTTTAATGCAAGTCATTCTGCTCTACAATGATTGCAAATTGATAGAGCATTTTAAGGTATACATAGAATCATCTCCTGTATGTTAAAGATTGAATCTTTTCTCTCTTGTGGTTCGGACTAATATTAAGTGTCTGCCACAACTCCAAGAGAATAGTAACACACAATTTCGGTTGGGCTTCAAAGATGCTCAAGCATTCCGTCCCCATGGTTATTTCCTATCCTATCCCTCCACCCTTCTCTCCCCCCCCCCCCCCCCCCCCCCCCGTCCCTCACCCTTCGCCCTCTCCCCACTCCCTTCTTCCCTTTCGTGCTAGGAGAGGTACACTGCCCCACACGGAAAGCCACTCAGCCCCGAACAAAAGCGAATTCGTTCCATGCTACAGAACTTTTGGATACAATCCCTCATAGAGTGACAACCTGGCTGAACCTGTGTATAACCAGCACCAGTTCCCTAAAAAAAGAAATTCAGCACAAACAAGAGGACACAAAAATAAGTTAAAAAGTAAGTCATAAATAGAAAAATAAAATCTGTATAAGTTTCATGAAGCTTTGCTCCTGTTCTTTCTGTGAAAAGAATCCATTCTTTCTTGCTTCTCTCCACGGCACAGGACACAGCTGTACTTGCTTTTCGTCCGGGCGAGTTGTGCATAAGCCTTTTCGTCGATACCATCACAATCTGAAAGGTGAAAACCATCCTCTTAAAAGTGCAATGTGAACCCTTTACAATCTAACATCAGTATGCATATTCTCCACACTGTTCTTTAGACATTTTCTAAGGTGACGTAAGAGGAACTAAAGTTCAAATAGTTCTTTTCCCAACTGAATTGTCACAAACCTGTATATAAACCTTACATAAAAGTTTTTAAGCTCTGTGTATGATTTAAGTGATTAATAACAATCAGCACACAAGATGCATATTGCATAACCCATCCTAACTGAGATAACCTTGGTTTTCAAAGTATAAACAACTAGCAATTATGCTCCTTCCACCGTAAGTAACTGCCCAGAGTTTACCGGAACCCAGCTATACTCCTAAGTGGCTTGAAACGAGGAACCACGAGAATAAAGTGTTTTGCTCAAGAATACAACACTGTGACATGGAACCCAAACTTCTGGATTTGGGCTTCGGCGCTGTAATGTCTTCCAAATCGAAATTAAATAAGGGTAAAAAAGTAGTTCAGTCAAACCTGTGTGAATCCAGCGGTCACACATGTCACAACACACCATGGGCAAATCAGACTCGTCATTGCGGTAAACTTTTAAGCAAACCGGGCAGAAGTTTCCTGCGCGGAACAACCTGTGAGAGGAACAATGGAAAAGGTAACATCAACATGTACGAGAAGTAAACATAGGAGAGAACAATGGACCACCATCATGTAAGTCATTCATAAAGCATATAAGCAACGTTTCCTTTACAACCTGAAAACAAGGAAAAAAATCGATCGCCCCTAAAAATTCGACCAACGTTTATTCTTACTTTGATAGCGTAGTATCTACAGGAATTGCAGCAAGTCCACACATGTAAAATGCGTGTACTTTTTATGTGCGTGTACAATACGTGGACACTGCACGCAGTGTTCAAGAAACAGCATAATGTAACCGTTTATACCTGGAACAGGCAGAACACAAGGTTTGTAAGAACTGCACTTCTGATCCGTCTCGTGGTTTGGTGTACTGTGGGGCACATACGAAACCAAATTAGCTGATATACGTCAAAGCACTCATTAGCTGGTTGCGGTAAAAGGGAGTAAAACTGTAAGAAGAAGTTATATAAACCTCGTGTTTCCATCTGGAGGTTGGGCCTTCACCTGGGGATCTTCTCAAGCAGGATGCACACATACCACACTTATCACATGTCCACCGACCTGATGAAAGAAACCAACACAGTGGACAATCAACGGCACCTACCGTTTATTTGCAAAATGCGTCTACTTTCGTTCTCTCTATAGGCTTGTTTAGTTTTCCAGTTTAGGACTCATCGTTTTGGTAAAAGGTGCCTCGTCTTCATCGTGCGTGTTTACCCCCTCTCCCCTCCCTTCCTCATTATTTGCCCCTTCCCTCGCCCCATCTCTCCTCCCCTCCCCAGGAAGTCCTTCACTGCAGGTCTTGTCGAGGTAAAATTTAAGTTTCAACGCGTTTAGTGGGGTTGTAAAACTGTAACATCATTGCTACATTTCAATCAGTGTGTTGATCGCATACAATGAACACCGATTTTCACCAAGATTAACAAGAAACACAACTGGAAACTATTACCCATGATCACACTTACATGTACTTACCTACTGGTATCTGTTTGAGTCCCACACAGAAACTGTGGTATCCACGGTCACATTCGTCACAGAATAACATCTTATCCTGTCAACAAAGACCTTAGAATTAAATTTTACGTCCGAGTTGATAACTCGTGCGGTCAAGCAAGTGAACGTGAGGGCAGAGAGATGTTTCATTTTTCAAAATGAGTTTGTTTCCAGACAAACTTTTAAGGTAATTTAAATTCGAAAGTTTATCACAGTGAGTGGAAGAGGAGCTAGTTTGCGGTATGGCACAATTAACCATTACAGTAGTTTGGGTCATGCAGATGTACATAAGAGAGGAAATGACTAACGCTAAAACGATAATTTCCTCATTCGTCGCTAGTAAAATGTTTTCGACCTTGTGGTCTAATGGCCCGGATGTTAAAAAGGCATGAAAAGGTCTGTTATCAGTAGAAGTGACTGAAGTTTTGACCACCTGAGTGAAAAACGTCATGAAAGTCACGTGAATCAGACCCCTAAACTCTTAACTCTAAAGATGACATCCGCTTTGGTTGTTGAAACGTCTGTCAATTTTAACGGCGACAGTTCTTCTCAGGACAACTGCCCTCACCCGGACTATCAAACAATTTACTGTGGCAACAAGTAAATAATCCTTAACAATACTCTCTTCTCCATACCTCTGACATGTGATGCACCTTCGTCAGATCTCAAAACATTCTGTACGTGTACAGTAAGTACTGCTTAAACTCGATCATGTCATTCTATTTACCTCATCAAACGGGTCGCGGCAGACGATGCAAGTTTTACATTCCATGCATTGCCATGGATATGTCTGGATTACTACAACCAACTGGGTGTTCATGTCCAGACATGTGGGATGTCCTGTGCAAAACACAAAAGTCCTTAGTGTTCCTGTGATAACAAAGTTTTACTGCATGTCTTGCACTTACACAATTCCTTCACAGGGCTATTCTTTAAATACAGACTGATAGATGTTGCAGAGAGGGAGATAACATAGTGAACGTGTACAGCCAAGATAGTTTAAATATCCATTCATAATTAGAAGTACATCATCTCAGCTAAAACACAACCAAGCTAAATTACACTCGTATAATTACCATTAACAAAGAAATAATTCTTATTTTGTTCTTGCAACAAATCTCCTGCAGAGTTAACACTTAGCAATCAAAGGTCACAGTTTTCAATATTTTCAAGAGCAAATTATTCATCATAAAGCTATATTTCTATAGCTATAGCTATAACTTCACAGGAAAAGCTATAGGAAAACTTTTCGTAAAACATCTGCAAACAACTGGCCTATCAACCAAAGCAGTCAGAACACAGTCATGCACAGACATACCACTATTCTCACACTGTGAGCAGTGTATAAGTTCCTCTGGCAGTCCTTTCTTGTTTGAATCTGGGCCTTTCAAACAAATGCCACACAGTGCATCGGGACGTTTTGGGGGCTGTGAACAAGATGTCAAAGTGACGGTTGAGTTTTATACATGCGCTTTCATTGTAACATTCTTATTGAAAAAATAATTAATAGGAAGTACTCATTAGATTTTTCCAAGTTTTCGACTGTCTCCCAAGACTCCCAATCCAAAATCAAGGGATGACATTAAATAATTACTGGATGAAGTTTTTGTGATATCCAGAATAATCATCTGAAGGCTGATAACCCTTACCAAGACCTTGATTATTCTGGATATTACAAAAACTGAATCTAATAATTGTTTTATTATACAAAAAATGAAAAAAGAAATGGTCCCAACAATAGGTGGAATTGATCATTTATTTCTAAACTCGTTAAAAAATATACAAATCAGCAAGCAACACGAGGTGCGCAAACTTGAAAAGATTACCCTTGGAAATCATGCACCATGGTCATTCATGACCTGACTACCTGCGACCTTTAGTGTCCTTGACATGACTATTGTATAATCTGCAGCTAGATGACATCCTAGATGCTGATTTCGGAAATTCAATGTACACTTTCAGCCAATCAGAAACCAGAGTGTGAGTTGAATGTACAACAATCTGTATTATTTCACCTGTAAATTTCTATTCATACATTATCAAAAGTTGTTTATAAATTGTACTAACTTTGTATTTTCCTGGTATTTTCTTTG